CATCTAACATCTAACACAAGTTTACAACACTAAATAAATATTTATTTAATATATTGTTTAAAAGCTTACCTTAATTTAACCGAAGAACGATTTCACAATGCACCAAGACGTCTTCTCCAAGAGCAAACACAAGAACAACCCTGAATAATTTCTGAATTTTTTCTTTTCTTATATTCAAAGTGCAGTGGCCAAAAGCGGTCATTTAAAATGAAAGTTGTAGTAATCATTAGGGTAATGAGCTATTTCATTTGCGACGTTTGAAATCAGGAATGCAACACATAAAATGTTTAGGGCCACATTCAGGTGATTCATTTTAGAGGACAAATTGAAACAAACTTTCTCCAGAGTCGACATTACGTTTAGACAAATTACCTGTCTATTTGTATTAATTCAGAGAACAAATTTTGTGCAGGTTACAATGATTTCTTGTTCTATACATTTATTTTTATAATTTCTAATATAAAGAATATTGCTACCGCTATGATAGATACAATTAAAAGCAGAATTATAAAACTTGGAATTCGGATCGCGATTTGGAATTAAGTAGGTGACGACATACCGACGCTTCAAGGGTTAAATGGGTATTTGTTTTCCGTAATGAAGTAAAAAAATATCCAGATACATACATTCAAACAAATGTTAATACTCTTATTGTATTCAAGAAAGATGTTCTATTACTCATGTCTCGTCTTTACAAATATTTGGACTTTATCGTAAAAATATTTTTGCCCCGAAGTGTAATTTTCACCTCCCTCAGGTACTTCGATTTATCAGTAAGCATATAAAGGATGTAGAAGGAACAAAATTTTTACCTGGTTTTCTCTCCCACCACCATTACCATTTCATTTCCAAACAGATTTTTGGCAAGACAACTAGTCACAGTGAAATAATAATTTGTGAATCAAAAATGACTGGTAAGTTAATATTAATCTATTTTACATATCATATTTTCCCAACACCTTAATCTTGCACAGACGACGTACAGGGTGCCCAAGGCGATACCACTTGAGTAAGCAAAAGGTGCCGTATTAACTCATTTTTAAGAAGAGCGTGGTTCCCCCCGAATTAGATGACGAGGATGAAACAGAGAACGCTAGCGGAATTGAGGATGACCGAAATTAGTTTACATATGCATTAATAATAAAATTATAAAAGTAAATATATGTTTTTTATTTTGACAACATTTTATTGTTTTCATTAAATTGATATCAACAAATCCTAGCATTTAATTGTAAAAGTTTTATACACATCTTTATAATCAAACTTTAGAAAGTGCAGTGGTCGTGATTAGAAAAATGATTAAAAAATCATTAAAATCGCTGGAAAGTACAGCGGGTAATTAAGAGGTCATTAATATGTCATTAAAAGTGAAAGCGCTGGTGATTAAGGGGGTAATTAAAAAGTCATTAAAACATCACTAATTACACTCATTTACTACTGCGGATCAACAGGAGATTAACGGTTTTGAGTATTCGACAAGTTTTATTAAAAAATTGATGAACGTCTCTAAAATACTCGAGAAAAGTGAGTTTAAATGAAAATAGTGGACAAGTTTTTACTTTAACAAGAAACAAGAAGACAAGCTTCTTGACTAAATAAGCAGAGTCGGAGTCGGTCGGACTACGAAAATCCAACAACACCCAAACTTACCCTAAATAAGCTAATGTATATTTTGGGGAAACCAAACCTGTGTCAGTTTATATAACATGATAAGATAATAATAACATGAAACGAGAGAAAGGTGCTAAAAAGAAGGCTTTTCCGACAAATTCAATCAAAAACAACTCTCTAAAAGAAAAACATTATTGCAAGTCTTATAACTTATAAGTTACGAATAATGTAATGAATATGTAATAAGTAAATTTACTTTAAATTTAGTAGAGAAATAAGGAGGGAGGTGTTGTGTACAAATGAAAATGTAAAAAAACTTTAAAAACTGTAAAATTATGTAAAACTACATAATTTTACATTAGCATTTTGATTAGATAGATCTTGTATGCACCACGTACGCAAAAGGTTTTAGGTGACTCCTCTCATTAAAGACTCGGCTCCTACGTCGCCTCGTCATTAATTACGATTCGTCCCCTAGAACCCTATTTTGCGTACTTGATACATAAATAGCTATTAAATAAATAAAATAGTTAAAAATTTTAAACCTAATTACTAAATATTATATAAAATTACATCTTAACAAAATAATTTTACATTCAATTTATTACTTCGCTATTTTTACACGTATTTGAGAGAGAAAATTAAATACATAAATTAAATTATGCAAAACTGTAAAAGTAATTCTACGTTGAACATATTAGACTGCTGGACCGATGATAACTTTTTATCTACTCCGCCCATTCGGTTTTCTTAGCAACCAGTGAAATATGTTTCCAAGGCGGTTAGATTTAAACCGAAAAATTATATAAATTTTTGATCTTTATATTCTAACAGTTATTGTGCTGACACTTTTATGATTTTAGAAAATTTAAAATAACTGACGTGATTTTCATTAGGTATAATAACTTGTTTATTCTCTTTATTTTAAGTTGTAAAAATCTGGAGAGATTTGCAGTAGAAATCAAAACAAAATTTAATGTAATTTTTTTTACTATATTTTTAAAAAAGCAAATTTATAGTTTACAAAATAATTAAATAAGAGAAAGATCTTCTGATGTGGATAAAACTAATAAAGGAGACGGTGCGACCTAAGAAAAATTAAGTAAAAGTATTGTTGGTTGTGGGCTTGAATAATGACTTATCAGTCCGTAAAAGTAGTTTTCTAAAACTATTTTAAGCTACTTCACACACTATTTTGATCACTTTACGAAGATTTTTAAAAGAATATTTTGTACGACATATTTTTGACTAATTTGCAATAAAACATGCATACATCATGCAAAACACATTCCAAAATGTAGAAACAGTATTCTTACACAATTTTCAACTAAAACCTTTAATAACAAAATACATTAAAATTTTCGAAATTCTATAATCAGCAACAAAAACACAACAGTGATTACCTACAAAAAAACGAGATCAACTAAATTTTGTCACAAGTTTCATAAATGCATTAAGTTTTCTACTTTTTAGAAAGTTATCTAAAAAATCGTTTTTATCCTAGTTTAATTTCAATTTGCATCTAAAATATTCAAAATTCCCTCGTGTCAATTCCACCAACATAACACACAAATCCCCTAAAGCTATTTAGTCAAAAATCAAAAGTATGGCGGCGAGTGTTGTTTTGGGAATCTGGGATTCTTCTCATTATAAAAGTTATAAAATAGAAAACGTCGATTTGGATAACAAAGTCGTGCTCCTCAAGAATGAAGCAAAAAAATTAAACCCAACCAAAGTGCCATTTGGTGAGTCATGTCATGACGCATCAAATTTGAGATTTTAAATGATAAAATTGTAATTTTTTGTTAGATTTGGTCTATTGCGGCCTTGTTTTGGAAGAAGAGCACACCTTGTCTTCTTATGGCGTGAAGCCGGGGGTGACCATACACGTAGTAAAAAAGAATGTACCCCCTAGTGTCCCCAGGGGACGTGCTTTGACTGAAACTGAAGTCCAGCAACTTGTAGTCGCATTTAGGGCTTTTACTTTATCGTCCGGATACCGCGCTGCGTTACAAGTATTAAAAGCGAATGTTTTATTGTATTTTTGTCCTAATTGAGACATTTTTAGAGATTGTCGCGTCCTGAGGTGTTGGAGACGATAATAGCTGCAACTCCAGGCCTTGCTGAAGACCCTGCTGCCATTGCAATTATCCAAGACCCCGAACTAATAGTCCATATGGCAGACCCTGATACTGTTAGGAGAGTAGCTGATAAACATCCTTCTTTGATTGAAGCAGCAAATTATATTGCTGCTCATATTCATGAAGAACAAGCAAATGTTGACTCTTCTCAAGCTGGGACAAGCACTGGTTACTCTTACTCCCTTGAAGCATTGTCAGATGATGAAGAAATGGATACTTCTATCAGAGAACCACATCCTTTAACTAGAAATACTAGTTATAATGCTATAACAGCAGCACAATTAGCTGCAGCTATAGCCAATGCTACCAACACTGCTTTTAACACAAACAGTGCTGGAATGCCTTCAACACCAAGCTCGTCAAATGTTATCACAAATGAGATGTTTAGTAATGCTATTCAACAGGCGGTAGGGTCTTTGGGAGGTCTAGGGACTACCAACACGCCAAATAGAGGGGAAGAAGAGAGTTTGGAGAGTATCACAAGAAGGTTGCAACCACAATTGCAACAAATGCACGAAATTGGTTTAAGAAACGATGCTGTTAATATTAGGGCACTCCAGGCTACCTCTGGGAACGTTGAAGCGGCTATTGATTTAGTCTTCAATGGTGCTATTGATTAAATTATTAATAATTTATATTTATTTGTATAAAATAAAAAGTGTTCCTCAAATCAGTTTATTGAATTTAACTTATGTAACAAAATGTTTTTACTTGAGAGGAATGAACCTAGAGCTGTGAGTAGCACCAATACCGGGCCTCCCATGCTTCACGGGTTTGTAAGTGAGGGAGAATTCGCCAAGGTAGTGTCCAATCATTTCAGGTTTAATTTCAACCTGAGTGAAAGCTTTTCCGTTGTAAACGCCAACAATTGAGCCTACCATTTCCGGGACGATGATCATGTTACGCAAATGTGTCTTTACGATTTCTGGTTTTTCTAGTGGAGGGGCTTCTTTTTTAGCCTTGCGGAGTTTTTTCACCAAAGCCATTGGTTTGCGTTTAAGACCGCGGCTGAAACGCCTCCGAGCACGGCAATGCATCAATTCCATAAGTTGCTCACTAAAAGAAAACGGAAATTTGATTTGTTAAAAATGAGAGGTTAGAATTTTTACTTTGGCAAATCGAGAAGCTGATCCAAGTCCACGCCCCGGTAGGTGAATTTTTTGAAGGTCCTCTTCTTCTTAACTTGTTCGTCAGCCTAAAGTAATAATTGAGAAATATTAGCATTAATTGTCAAAGATCCGCAATAAACATGCTACTTATTTTGTGAATTTGACACAGAAGTTGATAAAAATTAGCACTTACCTTATCAGCCATGTCGAATTATAATAAAATTAAACCACTTTTGTGTAATTAAATGAAAAGATGAAGCTTATTTTTAAAGATATTTGCTTTCAATAACAAATACCTACTGCCGCCATTAACTTTGACGTGAAAAGACCGGGATTTTATTTTTTGCACTAAAACCGGCAAGATTATTTAGGAGGGAAATTCAAACAAGCAAAATAGTTTGGTGTCTTTATTTTAATATAAAACTTATGTTAAATCGATAATTTCGGGTTTCTCCTCTTTTTTAATTTTGAGGTCAAACTGTTTTTTGATTTCCAATTTCCTCTTCTTCGTTTTCTTACAATACAAATCATACATGGCTTTAATTTCTTTAATGTTGCATTTTGTGATGTTCCAATTAAGAGTTTCATATGGATTCATTCTTGTAGGATCATATTTTTCACAATATTCGACAATTTCCAATCCCAGTCTTTTCATGACCTTTTCCAACACATCATCAACGTAAGTGTTAATAATTAAATCAGCCTTTTTGTCCTAAAACTTGAGTCGTAATAATCCACTAAAAACAGTGATTTTTGTTACATGTTTTGTTGGTTGCAAGTTAATTATAACAACTTTTCCTCCAAATTTTTTGCACCTGAGTGGTAAATTGCCGCTAGGAACAATTTGCAAGGTTGTGCCTAAACAAATATTTAAATCTGCCACACTAAAAAATCACAAAAAATTTACAAATAACCAAAATTATTTCACAATTACCTGGAATGGTAGTCTGACATTTCTAAATCTTTATTGGGCAAATTGTGTTCCCAATCAAGTATTGTATCACACAATTTTCCTCTACAAGGTCTCCCCCTGAGTATTCTCTTACAATTAGTCTCAAGACATTTTTTTCCAACAGTTGCAGTTGGTAAATTCCTCACAAACTGACTGTCACAAAAATTACATTGTTCAACGAACATATTTCCATGCAATTCTGCAATAAATTTCCTGCTGATTCCACTCCTCAAATGCAAACCATCAATATTTTGGCTAATTATATAATGAACGTAATTTTCTTCAACAAGTTTTTTTATAGCCATGTGAGTTTTTGTTGGAATCGCGTCTTTGAAAGAAATATCAATGGTTGGCTTCTTGCCTTGCTTTTCCAAAGTCCAGACGCCGTTGGGGCCCCTAAAATCGGGGATCCCGGCAGAAGTGCTAATACCAGCACCGGTGTGTACTACAACATGTCTTGCGTTTTTAATCCAGTCTGCTAAGATCTCGCATTTTTCTTGTACTTTTTCGGGGGGGTCAAAGCGCTAAACATTGAAAAAAAGTAAGAAAAAAAAGATTTTAGTTGGTGTTACCTCAGGGGCTCCCAACACCCCCTTATGCTCATAAGGAGACAACCCGTCGGCATAATTACAAGACATTTTTCCACTTATTAATCACTTGATTGAAAAAGTTTGGCAGTGGTAGGTAGTGAAAACAAGATTCATTTTAACATCTTCAGTTTTTTGGTCTAAAACCATGAAAAATGACAAAAAACAAGTAACTGGTTATTGTAATTACCTAATAATAACCAAAAACTAATACAATACACAAAAAATATCACAAAAACCAAGAATAACAATTATTATTTTTTATTTTTTATTTACAGTAAACTTTTAGTGACTTTCACATTTTCCCCTACATTTTGCCCATTGCCAACTGACAAAGCTGGCGACGCTGAATTTGTTGGTTAAGTGGGATGCAATTTTCTTAAGTAAAAAAACTTAAATTTTCCAAAAATGAGTCGCCGACGCCCCCACGAAGAAGAGGACGGTTATGGTAAGCCCCCTAGTACTTTTTCACCCCATTGGAAACCTAATTTTCAGACCGTGCCTACCGCAAACGGCGTCGAGTCTCCGAAAACCAAGAGATCGAGGATCGCTTGGAGTCCCTGATCCTTCGAGTCGGTGAAAAAAGCACCTCTTCCTTAGAGTCAAACTTGGAGGGGCTTGCGAGTGTCCTAGAAGCCGATTTATCCACTTTCCGGGTTAAAATACTGAGAATTTTAACGGACTGTGCTATCAAAATGCCGGAAAAATGCACGATTTACACGACTCTAGTTGGCCTACTTAATGTGAAGAATTACAATTTTGGGGGCGACTTTGTCGAGTACATGGTGAAAAATTTCAAAGAGTCTTTGAAGACCTGTAAGTGGGACGCAGCAAGATACGCTTTAAGGTTTCTGGCGGATTTGGTCAATTGTCACGTCGTTTCGGCCCCCTCTCTACTCCAATTGTTGGACAATATGATTGACGCGGCAAACGAAGATAACGTTCCTCAAGTAATTTTTTTTAACATGCATCAAGTGGACTATGACTGAAATTATGTTGACAACATTGAATAATGTCAGTGAATTCAATGTTGCCACCTTAATTTCAATCACTTGCACCTACTGAACATGGGTGTATTGTAGGTCCGTCGCGATTGGTACGTTTTCGCTATTTTGAGCACACTCCCATGGGTGGGCCGGGAGTTATACGAAAAGAAGGAACAAGCCTTGGAACATCTCTTAGTACAAATTGAAGTTTTTTTGAACAAGAGGGCAAAGAAACACCACAATGCGTTAAGAGTCTGGGCTATTGACACTCCTCACCCTCAAGAAGAATATCTTGATTGTTTATGGTCCCAAATCCGGAAATTGAGACAAGACAACTGGGCGGAGAAACACATTCCTCGCCCTTACTTAGCTTTTGACTCGATTTTATGCGAGGCATTGCAACATAGTCTCCCTTCAATTCTTCCTCCTCCCCACCACGATACATACCAGTATCCCATGCCTTGGGTCACATTTCGCTTGTTTGATTACACCGATTGTCCTGAAGGGCCGATTCTCCCGGGGGCACACTCAATTGAGCGTTTTCTGATCGAGGAACACATTCATTCAATCATTGAAATGTATCATTTGGAGAGGAAGGATTGCGCAGCTCATCTTTTAAATTTCCCTTACAAACTCAAAATTCCACTCGAGTATTGCATTGTTGAGTGTATTTTTGCCGAACTGTTCCATATGCCTACTCCCCGGTATTTGGAAATCGCATATGGGGCTATTTTGATCGAATTGTGTAAATTACAACCGTCAACAATGCCACAGGTTCTGGCCCAAGCGACCGAAATGTTGTTCATGAGGATTGATTCAATGAATGTGTCGTGTTTTGACCGATTTGTCTGCTGGTTTTCTTACCATTTGAGTAATTTCCAATTTAGGTGGTCATGGGAGGATTGGGATAGTTGTTTGACACTTGATATGGAACATCCCAAGCCTAAGTTTATCAGAGAAACGATGTTAAAGTGCATGAGGTACATACAGTTTTTTTTCTAACTCAAAATAATCCGATTTTTCAGGTTGTCGTATCATCAAAGAATAAGGGAAATTCTTCCAGACTCGTTCAGTTGTTTCATACCAGCAAAGCCAGAGCCGGATTACAAATACGCTAAAGAAGGGGCTGGTAAGACTGAATTTTTGTTAAATTAAAACAAAGAGTCAATTAGTTAACACGAGTAAACCTTAAAAAAACTTGTATTTTAATTAAATTTTAATATCGGATTCGGAGCGTAAAAGATTGAAAAACAAGCTATTATCATTTATTATTTATTATCATAACAAAAATATAAATTTCGACATATTTTAACGAATTTAATACATTTCGAGGTCAATGTCGACTCATTATTTTTTAGCAACCTACAAGAGTTTCACACGACACAAAAAACTCAATTGTGCAATTTTTAATTCACTTCAGTCAATTCGCACTCTTTGTGTTTTTTCTCTGACTTCGTTTTCTCGTCGTAAAGCTTCGTCTCCTATATTTCGGCTGTCTTGACGGTTTTTTCTGCAAATAATCGATCGTTCTGGCGTGATTCACTAATTGGAGGGCTAAATCGTCGAAAACTTTCTTCGTTTCGCTTTTATTTATTGCTGTTGTGGTTTCAGTTTTTTTCTCGTTTTCTGTTTTACTTAATTTCACTTTGTTCCTCTTATTTACTTCGAAAGTAATCGAAGTACTGATACTCTGATCAGTCGAAGGCCGAATTTCTGTCGTAGCTACAGTAGTACCCAAAAGGGTATTATTGGGATTGGGAGTCGAGGGGGCGTAGAAATTCCCATAAATAATTTTTGGTCGATTTGTTGATGATTTTCTTACTTTCGAACTAATTTTCACTTGTTTCGATCGTCCGAACAACGCCCGGGAAATATCCGATTGTACCAATTGTTTCGTGGTTGTTTCCATTGGTTCAGTGCTTGATTTTGGTAGTACTGTTCCGAAAATATCATCCACGTCGAAATCCTTTTTCTCGGGTAGTTTCGGTTTTTTACTGCTACCAGAGTCGAGCAAAAAACCATCACTTGGAGTAGTTATTGTCACTCGGGGTACTTTCTTCGTCGTGTAAGTCGTTTCATTTAGATATTGAGTCGGAGTTTCTGTATAATAAGTAGTAGTAGGAATTGTGAATTGTTGAGATGTTTTTGGTGTTGATTTGAAATAAAATTCAGTGATTGTGGTAGGTTTCGGATGGGTTGTGAGAGATTCGGTGTCTCCTAAAGTGGTACCATAACGCGTAGTTTGACCCCGCGGGGTTGTTGGTACTAGTTCGGCTATAGTAGTTTCGTAACTGGATGTTTTTGGTACCGTTGCTTCGATTAGAGTAGTATCATACGTACTTTTCGGACTTGTTGAAGCATGTAGAGTTGTGATGGGTACCGTTTCTATTGTAGTGGTACCAGGGCTAGTTGAAAGAAATGGAGTTGTGATTGGCGCCGCTTCTATTACAGTGGTACTATAACTAGTTCTAGGGCTTGTAGAACTGTGCAGAGTTGTAACTGGCACCGCTTCTATTACAGTCGTATCACGTTCAGGAAGCGTAACAGGTTTTGCTTTGATTGTGGTACTAGTTCTGACTGGTACTTCTTCTATGACAGTGGTTCTATAACTACTAGTTCTAGGGCTAGTTGAAGTATGTAGCGTCCTGACTGGTACTTTTTCTACTACAGTGGTACCATAACTTTTGGGGCTAGATGGTAGAAATGTGGTACTGGTTGAAGTGTGTAAAGTCCTGACGGGTACTGCTTCTATTGTAGTGGTTTTAGGGCTAGACGCCGATAGAGAAGTGGTACCATGACTGGATTTTGTTATAGTAGAAGTGTGTAAAGTTCGAACGGGTACTGCTTTTATTACAGTGGTTCCATAACTAGTAGGTTTAGTCGAGGCTACTGCTAGTAAGGTGGTTTTTGGACTGGTTGAAGTGTGTAAAGTTCTTACAGGTACTGCTTCAATTACAGTAGTACCATAAGTACTAGTTTTTGGTATAGTAGTATAAAACGTGGTACTTTTAACCTTCTCGGTTGTAAAAGGACCAATGATTGCAGTTTTTTGTTCTGTATACGGTACTTTTTCGATGGTAGTACTCTCTTCTTTTCTAGTCGAAGGTTGAGTGGTAGTAACATACGGAATTGTAGTTTCAATGTTTCTATCAGGTGCCGGAAGTTGTTCACTGATCGAATCCGGTCGTGTGTGTTTTGGAACTTCCGTAAACGGTTTCATCGGTTCGGTTGGACTTACAACCGAAAATAAATTACCATGTTCTTCACTTGTAATTTTTTTTGTGGTTGTGCGTATAGGCTCTGAAAAAATATCAAAGTCTTCGTCTTGTTTTTCTGTTGTTGGTTTAGTGGTTTCAACCGGAGTGTAATAATGTATGGTTGTGATTGGTTTCGGCGGTTCAGGCGATTTTGTATAACTCTGGGTTGGTAAAGTCGTAATTGGAACAAACTGCCCCTCACTTACGATAAATGTCGTAGTCGCAGGAGTCGTAACTGAGAATCTGTGAGGTCCATTTGACGTTTTCGCCGCCAATGACTCAATCAATTTCTTGTATAATTCGTATTCTTTGGGATCGATTGTTGTTTGGTCGTGATATGAAGTGAAAAATCCGGGAAAACTGTGCAACACGTGTTTGTACCCATCTGGAGTCATCTGGATCAAAATTCCGGGTTTGAAATGTCCATGATCCCCCTCTTTCTTATACCATTCATTTCGTTCAACTGTATTCACACCCGGATCGATTTTAATCACAAAAATGTGTCCCGGAACGTTATAATTAAAAAACCCATGACGTTTGACCAAATCCTCGCTGATGGTATGTGTGATGGGCGATATTGTGTACTCGATTTCGTACATGTGCCCATAGTGGGGGTCCCGATGTCTTATCCGTTTCACCGTCCACAATGCGAGTAATTTATGGTGACCAAAAGTCTTCCATTGGCATTGGGGCGAAGTGAGACATCTTTGACAGTCGCAGTCCACATCTTGGACGAATTTAAAACCTTCCGGGGTTATGTAGAGTTGTCCTCGGGCCAAAACGGCGATATCTCCGAAAGGACTTGCGTTGTCTTGTCGGTTGATGAAGGGGGCTGCCAGGAGACGATCGCGGAGTCCCGGATCGGTGTAGTGTTCCCGAAGGAGGGCCTGATGGACGGACTCACGTAGTCCTAGTTCCCAATCGGTGGGAGGATGAAAGTTTCGCACGCGTCGTGTGATTGATACAGTTTCCCATGGTTGAAGAGACTGAAAATGAGAGTTTTTATTTTTAATGGCCTTGGACTTGAATGAAAATTACCAAGAGTAAAATGAGGATTGTTTCGAAGTGTCCCATTTTAGACCCACTGGGTGTTTGCAAATGTTTGAAACTTGCACATGTCACTAGTACGCTCGATTTCTTACAACTAAATCTTTTTACTAGAGAGAGATTGAAGAGTACCCCACCAATGATCCTAGAAGCTTTCGACATAATTGCTAATACATTGTCTACTTTTCTGCGCACTGATGAACATTAATTATTTTTTTCTTGTGTGTGCAATGTGCATATTATATTACCTAATTTAGACACATGCCAAGATAATCATCTTGGGTTTTTAAGAAAAAAAATCGAGTTTGTGGACAAGTTAATTTGACACGACAGTAATTAACTAAAATGATTCTCATTAACAATTATGTTTTGAAATTTTTATTAAAACTGATGGGTTTGTTAAATTAAACCTTCAGAAAATGTATTGTCCAAAGTGAGATTTTTTAATTAAAAATTTTTAGACAAGGTTTTATTGGCAATTCTATGATAAATTTGTCTTGTCCCAACATCTTGATAATTGCGTTTTCATTGTGATAATTAATGCGCTCGCACTTAAAAAGGTTTCAAGTACTAATTCTAACTTATTTTTTTAGTTTTAATAGGAAAAAAATTGTTGGTTATTTTTATTAAAAAAAATTATTTTCACCAAAACGCGTGGTTAACTGAGGTGGAAACCTTGCATGGTTACCTAAGTCCCTATTTGCGTAAAATTCAGTACTTGAAGTAGAATATTTTCATTTTTATTGCACAAATTCATTACCTTTGATTTAATCTCTGTGTTGAGAAACTAGAGATGTTTACAGTCGTTCTTATTTTTTCTTTTAATTCGTAATTTGCTCACGAATCTTTAGTTTCACCTTGAACTTAATTGCTCTGAAAAGAACCGATTTTAAAGTATATCGCAAAATCGCATCTTTACGCTTGAAGATTTCGAAACGAAAAACAATAACGAAAGTGCATGTTACACGATGAAGATTACAATTGTTTGAAACAATCATAACAATGAATTTGACATAATGGTCACGGTATGAAGTGATTCTTGTAATTTAAAGGAAAAAGTCGGAAAGTAAAACGTGCGTGAATTTGGCCAATTAACACATCGGGAAAATTTCAAGAAATGGTAACTTGCACAAGAAAGGGATACAATTATGTGTGTTTGCGAAAAAAAAAACACTTCCGTTATGATTACTGAAACAATATTGGATTTTCTGGTCGGTGGTCTTCCGCTGTTATTAATTTTTCTTTTCCGTTTCGGTTTGCGGAAACAGTTTTGTTCGATTAAACGGTTTGCTTTTAAAATAATTTATTTATTCAAAGTAGAACGGAGGATTATGAGTTGTGAAAAAAATCCTGAGCAAGAACAACTTCCGTCGTGGCGAAATCAAAATTATGAAATTTTTTGCCATGCATAACAAATTTGTGTTTTAGCGTCACTTCCGGGTACTCCGGCTGCTCATCAATTGGTGGTGTCAATACGTCAGAAATGTACTCCCGAGGAAGTCCTAGGGGTGCTTAAAGACCTTCCAAATCCTCGTTCAGAAGAAGAGACTGATAGCAGATTTAATCCTCTCAAAATCGATGTTTTTGTTCAAACATTACTCAATTTAGGGTCAAAAAGCTTTTCGCATAGCTTTGCAGCGATTTCCAAGTTTCTTTACGTTTTTAAGGTACGTGATTTGTTAGTTTGCGAGTGAAATAATTGTGTGGTTAGATTTTAGCAGAGTCGGAAGAAGCTCAAATCTGCGTTTTACGAAACATGTTTGAATTGTGGCACAATCATCAGCAAATGATGGTCGTTTTAGTCGATAAAATGTTAAAAATTCAAATCGTCGAATGTTCAGCTGTCGCGAATTGGATTTTTTCTAAAGAAATGACTGCAGAATTCACTAGAATGTACTTGTGGGAAATTTTACATCTGACAATTAAAAAAATGAACAGACATGTGATTAAACTAGGAGGTGAACTGGCTGAAGCTAGAGAGAAATTGGCACGAGCAGAGAGCAGCGAAAGTGAGTCTGAAGATGAAGACTCCAAGAAGAAACAATCCGAAAATGAGAAACCCACTGAAGAATATGTAGAAAGAATGGAAGAGAAGTTGGAAGCGGCACAAGCCGATCAGAAAAATTTGTTCTTAATTATTTTCCAAAGGTTTATTATGATACTGTCCGAACATTTGGTCAGGTGTGACACAGATGGCCGGGATTACAACACCCATTGGTACAAGTGGACGATTGGGCGCCTCCAACAAGTGTTTTTAGCGGTAAAAAATATAAATATTTCTTTCTACTCGTTAGGATGCGTTAACAGCCTAGTGTATTTTTTCTTTTTAATGTTGGTGACAATGCTGTTGGAAGTAAACAGCTATCAATAAACCTACAAATTTGGCGTATTTTGGGTGGTGAACATGGAAAAACTTTGGGGATTCATTTCCAGATTACCCACAATAACAAAAAAAATGCCAGTTTGAGTTGAATTTTCCAACGCCTTTATGAATAACACTACTACGTGTCACCAACTGACGCAAATTTCCTTAAATAAAAAGCGCAAAATAGAAAAAAATAATATAAAACACTTGTTACAGAAGGCCTCTTTTGGCATGGTTGCCTTCTGTAACTCGTATTTTAATAAACTATTTTACTTTTCGTTTATTTGTGCGTTGTTACAGCATCATACACAAGTCCAGAAATACAGTTCTACATTAGAAACGCTACTTTTTACGCAAGATTTGGACCCACACATTCTTGAAGTATTCCAACAGTTTGTCTCGTTAAGAGCTTAATTTTTTATTTAATATACATTGTAAAGTGTAGTTTATCTCAAATACAATTCTTAAATAAAAAGTATATCAATATAAATAAACAGAAGAGTTTTATTTAAAAAGTTTGAAATCGAGGAAGTGGATATTCTTGTTTTAGGATTTTTTTGTAGAAAATTGGATAGTGATTTTAGTTTTTTGTCGTGCACGGTTGGTACTGACATCTCGATCTTTCTATCAAGTGAAAAAATTTTGAAATGTTTTTGTGACTTTTTTTAAAAATGTTGCATTTATCGCGTGTTTTTCTCCACTCGCGTGATTTGCCTCGTTTTTTAGGACAATTCCGTGTGCGACGAGGTTTCCACGCGTGTGTTACTGCAAACATAACCACGCTTTCTCACACCGCTTTGAACCCCGTGTCCAAAGTCTTTCCTTTGGAATTACACAAGGGAAACTTTTCCAAACTGCCTCAAAGAACATCTATTGGTGCGACGACCGGAAGCGTGCGGTTTTTCAGTTCAAAAGACGACTCAGATGGAGAAAACCGGCCCCCCGAGGATGAGCCCTACAACACCCAATTGCCAGCCACTGTGGCCGTCCCCGAGGTCTGGCCCCACGTGCCTGTCATTGCCATTAGTCGTAATATAGTTTTTCCACGTTTTATTAAACTAATCGAGGTTTTCCACCGTATTTCCAAGTTGGAGTAGAGTTGCATAAGACGTGTTTCAGCTCACTAATCCGCAATTAATCGAATTGATAAGACGCAAAGTTAAATTGAACCAACCTTACTGTGGAATTTTTTTGAAGAAAAACGAAGAAAACGACGCGGAAGTTGTTAACAACATCAATGATGTTTACAACGTTGGGGTTTTTGCCCAAATTCACGAAATGCAAGACTTGGGGGATAGGCTGAGACTCGTGGTTATGGCCCATCGCAGGATTAAAATCACGGGGCAAATTATCGACAACGACCAAGACGGCATTAAAGGTATTGTGTCTGAATTTTTCTCGTTTTTTACACACGATGTTCATTCATTTCGCGAAATGCTCGTTTGCTGCAGAAATGAAACTCAGCTTTCCACTTTTTAAAACCACAATGAACGTATTTGTAGAGGAAGCTGACGCGGAAAAGCGCCGTAGAAAGCCGACGAGAAATAACCGCGTTAAGAAAACTACAGATGCCAAAACCGATGACAAGAAAGAGCCCGCCAAAGAACAGTTCTTGATGGCCGAAGTCGAGAACGTCATGCACAACAAATTCAAGCAAACCGAAGAAGTCAAAGCCTTAACTCAGGAAGTTATTAAAACGATCCGCGATATTATTAGTTTAAATCCCTTGTATAGAGACAGTTTGCAACAAATGATGCATCAGGGGCAGAGAGTGGTTGATAACCCCGTTTATTTGAGCGACTTAGGGGCTGCATTGACGGCAGCGGAAGCGAAAGAATTACAGGAAGTGTTAGAGGAGATGGATGTGAGAGTCTGAACCAGGGTTAAAATCACCATTAATCCGTGTTTTTAGATTCCAAAACGCTTAATGTTGTCACTATCTCTTCTCAAAAAAGAATACGAACTGTCGAAATTGCAACAAAAAATTGGGAAAGAAGTCGAGGAGAAAGTGAAGCAGCACCACAGGAAGTACATCCTTCAGGAACAACTCAAAGTGATTAAAAAGGAGTTGGGTTTGGAAAAAGAAGATAAAGATGCGGTAGGTGACAAATTCCGGGAAAGAATCAAAGATAAAGTTTTACCAGAAGCTGTCAATTCCGTTATTGAGGAAGAATTAAACAAACTTAATTTTCTCGAAAGTCACAGTTCCGAATTTAAGTAAGTTTGAATTAAATTTATTGGGGGGAGGAAAAAAAACTCAAGTTTGGTTTAGTGTCACTCGGAATTACCTAGACTGGTTGACATCGCTTCCATGGGGGGTTTACAGCGAAGAAAACTTAAATTTACAAAGAGCGTCGGAAATTCTAGATCAAGATCATTACGGCATGGAGGATATCAAAAGACGCATTTTGGAATTTATTGCTGTTAGTCAATTAAAAGGTTCTACTCAAGGGAAAATTTTATGTTTTCATGGACCTCCCGGAGTGGGCAAAACTAGCATCGGTATATTTCCTGTTTTGTTTGATTTCTCCTCTAGTCTAGTGATTTGCAGCCAGGTCGATCGCGCGTGCCTTGAATCGGGAGTATTTTCGATTTTCTGTGGGTGGCATGACTGACGTGGCCGAAATTAAGGGCCACCGGAGGACCTACGTGGGGGCCATGCCCGGAAAAGTCATCCAATGTTTGAAGAAGACGCGCACCGAAAATCCTCTAATTCTCATCGATGAGGTTGACAAAATCGGGAAGTAAGTCGATTGAAGAAAAAAAAACAACCAATTGAAATTTTTTGATCAGGGGGTACACCGGCGACCCGAGTTCGGCCCTGCTCGAGCTGCTAGACCCGGAACAAAACGCGAATTTCCTGGATCATTATCTTGACGTTCCGGTGGACTTATCCAAAGTGTTGTTCATTTGCACTGCGAACGTAGTCGAGACCATTCCTGAGCCCCTGCGCGACCGTATGGAAATGATAGATATGTCAGGTTACGTAGCTGAGGAAAAGCTGGCAATTGCGACCAAATATCTCCTACCACAGGCTATGAAAGACAGCGGTTTGAACGAGCAACATATCAAAATCGACGACGAGGCACTTCACACACTTATCAAGAGTTACTGTCGCGAGTCAGGGGTGCGAAATTTGCAAAAACACATCGAGAAAGTCGTCCGAAAAGTCGCATACAAAGTCGTGAAAGAAGAAACGAATTTCGTCGAAGTTACCAACGCGAATTTGGCCGAGTTTGTGGGAAAACCGGTGTTTTCGCAAGAGAGGATGTATCCTACGACGCCTCCGGGGGTCGTCATGGGACTAGCGTGGACGGCTATGGGGGGTTCCACTCTTTATATTGAGACAACGACTCGGAAAATTACAGCTGAGAAGGAGACGGATGGGTCATTGGAATTGACGGGTCACTTGGGGGACGTTATGAAAGAATCGGCTAAAATCGCCTTGACCGTGGCCCGGAATTATCTCTACAAAATAGACAGCACTAATAAATTTTTACAAACTAGTCATTTACATTTGCATGTGCCAGAGGGGGCGACCCCGAAAGATGGCCCTAGTGCAGGTTGTACAATTGTCACGGCTTTATTATCATTGGCTAAGAATGAACCAATCAGGCAGGATGTAGCAATGACGGGGGAGATTTCATTGACGGGGAAAGTTTTACCGGTCGGAGGGATCAAAGAGAAGACAATTGCGGTAATTTGATTGGTTTAAAATCCCAACAAAGCGTAATTGTTTGTTTTCAGGCGAAAAGATCTGGAGTTAAGTGTATTATTCTACCAGAGGAGAATAAAAAAGATTTTAATGATCTTCCGAAATTTATCACTGATGGGTTAGAAGTACATTTTGTTAGTACCTACGACGAGGTTTATAAAATTGTTTTTAATAAAAATCTTTAATTGTGATAGTGTGTCACTTTTTATACAAATATATGTTTTATTGATTTGTATAAAAAACGTATTAATTGTACAAAGATAGTCGAATAAAATTTGGATTATTTGTTATTCCTATTTTGTATGAAATAAAAAAATCAAGACTGTGTTGTTTCGTTTACTTGACTAGTAGTCGCGTGTAGGAAGTTGGTTGAATTTAATTCATATGAAAATTGCTGTCTTTACTTAATTCAAGTAACAAGGCTTGACAGTTTTTCTTAGATCGCGAAACAATGTGTTTTTAAGTTCCCTTCGTAAGTAATTGCAATTTTCTATAATTACATTGGCCACTCCTATTTAAATTTCTTATCAAACAAACTAATAAATTAGGCGTCAAGGAAACAATAAATGCAAGTTTTTATTATTTGCTTTTAAATATTTATCTTGGACAAGGGATTAATGTTAATGAGTTACAACAGTTACGTACCTATTTTTTTTTTAGATATAACGAGCGCCATAAATGTTGAGGTAAGTAATTAAAATAAATGATTTGTGATTGTTTCCAGCAGGACTTTTTGTGAAGTCTGACCTAATTCGGTTTATGTTTGCCCAATTAGCACAGTAAAATTAATTACCAAATATTTACGTCTTGATTTTGTTTGGCTTTTCTTACGTCGAGCCACTGTACCATCAAAGCCGTTATCGCGAGAGTAAAACATACAAATTAACACTTTTTACCGAAACCGCAAAACATCACGTGAATTAAGTATTAAATTTTTTCAGTTGTGGAAAATGTTTCCGATTTTCGCATTACTCCAACTCCGTCATTACGTGTAATTACTGAGAACATGAAATGAATTTTAATTGTTTTGTCATCGATACATCAGAGAAATAAGCGTAAGAAAACGCATTACTGTGATATGTTTTTAGTGTTGCTTCTGTAGTAGAAATAGTTAGAAATATGTTTAAAACCTATGAAGAGATTCCGATTATTGTAGTGGACCCACCACCAATGGAACCCCAGAATACCACACAAGAAACGTCCCTCAACATTGAGGAAAAAGATGAGGAAAAAACGGGAGAAACAGAACGAAGATTATCCTTGAGGAGGAATAGCATTTCGCTACCGAATCTGGATGATCTTCAAGTACTCAAGCAACACGTTCAGGTACAATAATAGAAACGTGAACCAGGTCAAGGAGTGACAACAAATGTACAAATTTTAGTCACGAGTTGGTCAATTTTAATCTGTTGTCATTCTTATAAAATCTCGTGCTTTTATTAAACTTAAACTCTTGCGGTATTAAATTCATCATGACCTTGAGGAACTCGATCTAAATGCCCGTTCAAAATAAATGTTAATTCATTCCTAAAGTGATGTGTTTGTTGTTTATCACAATTACTCTTCTACACGTGAACTAAAAGAATGAAATATCAAACACAACCGACAGATCCAATAAAATGGCTTTACAATTATAAAAATGAAGATGAATACAACTCTGAAACGTGCTCAAGTCTCGAAATCGAACATTTTGAAGCCAACAAGGTGTAAATTTTTTGTGACTTTGAAGTGTCTTATGTTTTTTTGTAGATTGCTAATGATGGAGACGAGGACACGGACAGCGATTATGAGCTCCCGCCAACCAGTAGGTAATAATTTTATTATTTTTTGCAATGACACATTAAATAAAAAATGAGCGTGTGCGTCTTACAGTATTATTGGTTGCATAACTCGTAATGGTCTTATATTTGAAAAAAAAAAACGAAACTGCAAAATTATTGCAAAATTAAGTCATAAACAAATTATTATACTGAACTTAAAATAAAAAAAAAACTATTTATAAAACGAATTTTTAAGTATTTTGTCACAATCGACGAAATCTAATTAAGATTGATCTAAATACTTAAGTCTCGTTTTTTGATAAACACTGATTCAGTGCTCTGATTACTTGTGATGATTAAGTGTTTGCCTCCGGGTTGTTTTGAATTAATTTTTCCACTCTAGAATATTTACATTTTTTTTAATAATTTTTCCTTGCACTGGTGTCATTGTTAAAGTGGCTTCCCTACAATAACACATTATCCGCGACCCGCATACTTAAAAAAAGATAAATATTAGATAAGGAATTAATGCTGGTTAGTTTATAAGTGTTTTCGTGTAATCGCTGTCTTATTTTATTCAATAATTAGTACCTCTCGAGTCTTGACACTTTGCATCATGAGTTTTTCTAGTTTTAACTTGGATGATATTCAATATATCGACGATGATGGCAAAAGAGAATCAAAGTAAGTAATCCGGAAACACGTACGCAAAATAGTTTAAAAGTTAAGGGGAAGTGCAGTTAAAGGTGCGGATATTGTAATAAGTAACCCAGAGGAGGGTCTAGATCAGTGCCGAGTCAGATAGGATAATAACCGTTGTCAATCTTAATTTTAAACAAAGAATATGTAGCACCAAATTTTGTCAACTGAACAATAAAACGTTAATTATAGAGGATTTTTTTTTTTGTTTTTTTTTTCAAGTTTAATTGTGTTAAATTTTGTTGCGGTTTCGTCTGAAATTTCTTAATTGAAACTTCCCCCGACTGCCAGTTCGGGTCAATATGCGTATGATAAAAGACATTGTCTCCTATTATAAGATCGTTTATTAGCACGGCAGTCGTATTCTAGCACTTAATCTAATGAAACTGTAACAAATTGGTTTAGTGTTTGTTCTGGTCGTTCTTTTAAAGGACTCCTCTACGTAATGCTAGACGGAAGTCTGTCACAAGTCCTAGAATGCTCAAACCGCCAGTCGATGATGAATCCGGAAGTAATTCCCCCGCAAACTCAATCACATCAATCAACTCTTTGGCAAGTTTGCTTCGGGAAAAAATGCAGGTAAGTCATTTGAATTCATCGCTAATTTTTTGGAGCAACAGTCAGCGCAAATATTAGTCGACCTTCGCCTCAATTACACTTTTCAGATGCTTCCAGCCACTCTCCGCAAAAAGAAAACCCCCGACTACAAGACTCGCATTTTCGTGGCGCTGCTTTTTATAACCATCGTTGTGCTCATCTTCTGCGCCTATTTTCTCTACCACCAGAAAGTCCTCCAGAAAGCCTACTTCCAAAAAATTAAATTCAATAAAATCAAACGGTTGATGAAAATTTACAACACGGAAGGGGTTGAAATAATCCGAGCCCGTCTTGGGACTACCATCAAGTACGACAAGGCTTTACCATGCCTCCCAATCGATGAGAAACACGATGGTAGTATTTGCTTCGAATGGATGGGCAATGCGCGGTTGTATCTCCAGTACTACCAACTCAACCCCGAAGTCAAATGTTACAACTTGCAATGGATTGCACTGAATGATGGTATGTCACCCACTGATTGTTTCAGTTTAGGGGATGACCATTGGTACGGTGGGGGGCAAACAGCGGAGTCAGCATGGCCTCTAGAGAAGGGTAACCATGATTTCGCCCCATTTATCACAGGGAGGGTTGATAAACACGAATATGGCAACGTTTTGAAGCGGTATTTTATCAGTGCCAAAGGGGTGGCTGTTTTAGTTGACGATAAAACGCCACTGCAAGTCTCGATTTCAAGCACTGACAACAAGGAATTGTGTCTAAGAGCAAAATATGACGATTTTGCTTATGTCAATCGCTTGACGAAGACGGCGAATTTGAATTACAGTATTTGCACTAGTACGGATATGACAAAACTACATTCAAACTTAGTCGAAAACGCCCTCTGGGATGGGTTAAAACTTGAAGACATGAACGTTGTAAACTCACTTTTGACGGAACCTTTATGGGAAATCACTTCGTCAAGTAAAAGCGAGTTGACCGAGGAAACAATTTCGAATTACACCGACAACGTCATCGCGTTAGGATTCCTCAAACAGGGCCATGTCCTTATTAACGAATTTTGGCAAAAAAATGTGGGCGATTTTGAGGTCGATTCCGAGCGTTTTCCAGGCCTTGAAGAGGTGATAACTGTGATGCACCGTCGAGGATTCCGAATCGTCTTCTCCATCCAACCATTTATTTCCACCGAAAGTTACAACTTTGGCGAAGCTGTAAAAAAACGTCTGCTGGTTTCGGAACGTTTCAGCGACCGGAGAATTCCAGCTTTGACTCGGTACAAATCATCCCAAAGTGCCGGTGTTCTAGATCCGACTAACAACAAAACAATCCCTTGGCTTCTGGCCAAACTGAAATCAGTGGTTGCGAAGTACAAATTCGATGCCTATTACCTCGATTTAGGCATTGCGTACAACATGCCCCACTATTACCAGTGCGAGAAGCCTTTAATTAACCCAGATCAGTATAAGACCTACTTCATTAATAATCTGCAAAGTAGTGTGAGTTTATTTGGGGTGAATAGCGCTGTTGAACGGCCCAAAGCCCCAACTTTTGTCTCTTTGCCTCAATTTGAGTCGTCATGGGACGGTTTAAGGAGAGTCATCCCTACTATACTCACTTACGGTCTCTTGGGGTACCCTTTTCTGATTCCCGGCGCTGTCGGGGGTGATGTTGAGTCTCCAGATACAATTTTTTACGCTAATTATAGTTCAGAACTCCTCCCGGATAAAGAATTGTACGTTCGGTGGTTACAACTAGCGACTTTTTTACCGGTTATTCGATTCACTCACTTACCGAGTACTTTTGGGGACGATGTTATGGATATGGCGAAGATTTTGACTTCTCTGAGGCAAACTAAGGTCACCCCTTTGTTGAAAAAGTACGCGAAAACTTCACTCGATACGGGATTACCGTTGATAAGGCCTTTGTGGATGTTGGAATATAATGATACAGCATGTCATGTTGTTGCTGATGAGTTCTCGATTGGGGAAGACTTGATTGTGGCTCCTGTTTTGTATTCTGGGGCAAGGGAAAGGGAGATTTATCTGCCGGCAGGGGTTTGGAAAGACGGCATTGATAATAGTCTAAGGAAAGGAAGTCGATGGATTCATGATTATAAAGTAGAACAAAATGAAATTGCGTATTTTGAAAAAATGCCCGATGATACAAGATTCTAATTCAGTATTATTTAGTGTTAAGGAAAACGCTTATTTTACGAATAAATATTTATATAATCGGGGGTGTTTCAATTCGACACATTTTTTTTTAATCTCATACATATATCCTATACATTAATGCGTTTTGAATATACATATTATTAACTTAATAACATTTGATAACTCTTGATCGCCTGCCATAAGTTCATGATCTTTAATATCTGTAGTTGACTTTTCTGAACTATTTTTGGTTAATTCTGAAAATAAAACAGGAGAAGTTTTTCCGGAAAGTGATTTCTCTTGATTCAAGAGTTGTTTACTCTCTTTCTTATCATCGTGTTTATTCGACTTTGATTCTTTTAGAGAAGATTCTCATTTCTCGAAGATACCTAACCGATTGGGGCATTTCTGAAATTGGGTTTATTAGAATTGTCTTCTACATTTTCTAAGACTTTCTCTTCTCATTTTTTTTTTGAGTCAGTGGTTGATACTTTTCAAAAACAATAGATTGTGTCATGTCTGTTACAGCGTTGTGATCTTTATCTTATCGGCCCTTTCCAAATTTTTTCTTCCTTATCTTTCTCATTTAAATGCTTGTATTTTTCAAACACGATCGATTGAGACATATCACTTAGAGTTTTGAAATCTTCTTCAATATTTTTAGGTAATTTTTCCAAAAATTTCTCTTGCTTTTGATGTTCCTCTGTGGGTGTTTTATCACACTTTTCAAAAATCACTGACTTTGCCAAATCTGCAACCACTTTCGATGTCGATGTCCTTTCGATGTCATCAGCTGCTTTTTCTAAAACTTCTTCTTTCTCTTTTAAATTGTGCTTGAAAATCGATGTTACAGCTTCTTTTGTTTCTTCAACAACTCCTTTTTTAACAATCGATTTAACTTTACTCTAGATTTTGAATGGTATAGTTTTACCTTTTTTATTTTTTGTTGATGGTTCTTCTCTATCAGTTGTCAAAACATCAATATCATTATTTTTTCAACACTTTCAAGACCGTTGTATAGATCATATTTGATTTCTTCTTTTTTATCTGATTTAGCAACGAAAGGAGCTTCACTCACCGCACAAACAGTATCATTTAGATCTGTTCCTGCTTTAGTCAAATCTTTATCAAGTTGTTCCAATTGCCCTATTACTGTGTCTTTTTTCTCTACAAATATTTCCTCAACTTGTTTCTTTTTGTTTCAGCATATTTTGTTTCAAGATAATTCAAGACTGATTCAACTCTGGTTTCAAGATCTGTAATCTGTGACTCGGCCTTTTCAGCAATTTTATCTTTAGTTTCTCGTAAAACTTTTTTACTTTCATCAACTAATTCTTTTGTTTCTGTTTTATCTCCTTCAACTTCTTGTTTGACAGCTTCAGTTTTTTTTCAGCTTTTTTACTAACTTCCTTAATCTCAGTGCCCATTTTATCTTTGCTTCAGCAACTATATCCTTTAAGATTTTTGCTTCAACATCGTTAGTTACACTAACTGCGGTTACTTTTTTCTTATTAGTGTCTATTTTACATTTTGGATTCTTGTTTCAACTGAATTTTTTGTTTCTTTAAGTTCTGTTTTAGTATACAATTTCTTCTGCATTTTTAACTACTGTATACTGTACATCTTTAGATTTTTTTGGCTTTATTTTTTGCAGTTTCTAAAACATCAGTAATTTGTTTTGAAAAAATACTCAATGATACGAGATTCAGTATTATTTAGTACTTACGAGGAAAACACTTATTTTATGAATAAATATTTATATAATCGGGGGTGTTTCATTAAGAGACTTGTGGACTTTTATTTTTTTAATCTCATACATATCCCATACATTAATGCGTTTTGAATATATTATTAACTTTATAACATTTTAAGCTAAAGGATCAGATTTTCTTGACTAGAAGCTATATTATGTTTTAAATATATAGACAATTTAAAGTGAAACTTGCACATAAAATTACAATATTTTTCAATTAACGTAAGTATAAAGTGACGTCCTTTTTAAAGCGTATATTTCGGTACCAACCAAACGACAGTAATGTGCGTTCACAAACAAAAATAAATAAAATAAGTTGTATTTAAATAAATTTAAGTTTGGTTCAATACAGAAATATAAACTCAATCATCTCTCATGCTTTTTATCACACACCAGATGTCGCTCAAAATTATCAAAATCCTCCAAAGGCATACTTCATTTAGCACCATCTTACATATATAGTTAACAATAAATCTTTATTGTGTACTAAGTACAAGCTCAAAATACCGAAATTGTAAGAACACGTTGAACAGTTTTTTGAGTTCAGCTCAGGTATCGAGATAAAATGGCCCCATCTACCATAATATCGCTATCTAATCCAATCAAAAAACGAAGAATTGCAACTATGTATGAGAATAAAAAATGGTGAGACGCTAAACTGAACCCAAAAAATGGTGTAAGCACTAGTCATTCCACTCACACCTTACTCGTTAAGCTCCAGTAGGCCACAAAGGAAAAACTGGTTGCGCAATGATACAAATCAAAATCCACTGCGTGAAACTATCCTATCTTTGGCAAACAATCAAAAAAAGCATGTGTATAAAAATGCACAAACGGCCTCAATTCTCTCCACCGTCGTTAAATCTCCATAATCAAAAACCTAACAAAAAGTCTATGGGTATCACATCAGATATATAGTTTAATACATATAAAGCCAAAGAAATAATTACATAGTCGAGGCATTAACCGTAACTGAAGTTTGTTTGAGTTTTTTTATTAAAATATGAACGCCGCCGATGTGGGATTGTCTATTGCCAAGTTAATGCAAACTATTTAATTATTTCTCGCATTCTAGAGCTATTGATGTTGATAGCTGACAAAATATTTTAAAATTATCTACTCTATAATTTAAATTTGTTATACACACAAATTGACGTTTCCTTTTTGAAAAACAACGTCAAAAAATTGATGCATTGGTGCATCTTGAACAACATTGAAATTTTCGGTCAATTATTTAAAATCCTAAATTTGTTTTGTTCCAGTCTAAAATTTGGAAATTGTTCAAAAAGCTAGTCTACTTCTAGATGAAGTGTTGAAGACTGTGTTTATATTAACAATTAGATAATTTTCCTTTTTTAATCAGAGGTAATAACAAGGAAGATGTAAGGTATAATATCTTGGCGAATTACAATATATGGACGTTTACTTTTGAGGATAAAATTTTGGCTTTTTCCTTCTCTTCAAAATCTCATTCGTTGTGAAATCATTCTACTTATTGCTGGAATTGAATTTGGATTTGAATGATCGAATTTTGGTGGTTTAAAACTCCAAACGATAAGCAGAGCAGGATGTTTCGTGGTCTTGTAAGTTTATCGTGCAGCGACTAGCCGAAGGTGAAAGATCTATCTTGTATTTAGTCAAGAGTTCCTCGTTTTCGGCCACCCAGTACCCCAAAATATCCGTATCATAGGTCGGAATGATTGTTACTTCTGAAAATTAAAAATAAACCAAAAAAATAATCACAACTAACCACTCACCTAATTCCTTATCCTCCCAAGTTTGCTTAGCTTCTAAAAGTGCATTATAAACCTCTCTACTCGGCTCAATCCCAGAAAACACATAATACCTCGCTCTAACACGCTTGAAAAAGTCAACGTAAGAATAATAAGCATTTCCATGATGCGGCACATAAGTCAAATCAACATAAACAGGGTTAAACTTCTTATTTCTGTATTTAGAGGGTGACTCCGACCTCTTTTTATCATCATTGAGTTTATTTTTAGCTGTCACGTTCGATGGCAACTTGCGTTCTTTCTTAGGAGTTCCCCTGTTATCGTTCGGAGGCGCGGGACTTGGCAAACCAAGGGGTTTTCCCCATGAATCAAACGCGTCTTTTTTGGCTTCATTTGACGGTAAATCTCCCATGAAACTCGCAGTCATGACATCAGGAGCTCCGTTTTTGTTGATCTGGTCTAATTGGGATTGGGTTTGTGGTTCAGGAGTGCTCGAAAATTTCGCTTTGGTTATTTCATATAAATAACTCGAAGAATCCTCGCCGACTAAATCCTCGCCACGAGTTTGGCGATGCTCCACCATTGCTTTTTCAAATTCTAATTCTGGTTCGTTCTCATCGGGGAGAGCGCCGTAGAAGGAAGTGTTCATGGGGTCTAGTTTAGTCCCTATTCTCTCGTCTTCAAAATCATAACGAGATGAAGACCTTGAATGGGCCACTTGAGAAGTGACACTCATGGGTGAGCCTGGGACCTCCTCGTCTTCGTCACTTTCAACTCTCTCACTTTCTAGCAAATGCGGAGCTCGCGAGACTTGATCTGAAGAAATGTCAAAATCGTCACTTCCAGGTGTACAACTTCTAAGTTCGCTGCTTTTAATTTGAGTTATTGAAGATTTAATTGGAGTTTTGTTTTCTTCCGGTTGGGGTGATATTTCTTTAACATTGGGACTAACAGGCACTGTGGGTGGAGTAGAGCTACCAGGGATATGTTTTTCGTGTTTCAGTGTTTCTTGCATTTCTTTCATACGTTCTACTTCGGCGATATCGGGAGTTGATTTGCCACTAAGATGCAATTCTTCAGTTGAAGTTTTAGCTAGACTAAAAGGAGTGTCTGTTGTTGATGAAGGTCCTGCTATACTTTCTTCTTTTGTTGTTGTTGAGTGACTTTCTGTCACTTTTGTTTCAACGGGTTTAGAGACTTCTTCTGTTTTCTTCAGTTTAGCATCAACTTCAGTTCCAATTCCTGAGTCAATACTGTCTACATCTTTGTTCTCTGTTTTGTCATCTATTTGTTTTGAATCCTCTGGACTGTCTGTTTTTGACACGTCTAAAATTTTCTCGGATGAACTTTCTTCAGAAGCTTTCAAAGTTATCTGAATATCTGACACAGATGCTTTCTTTTCAGGTTCTTGTACGCCCAAAGTTGTCTTAAGTTCGGATTCGGGTTTTTGATCTTTTTCAGTTTCAGTCTTTTTCTCTGGAATGTTTGAGCCTTTCGCTTCCTCAACAGTATTCAAATCTGTTTCAATTTTCTTTTCGGTATCTTTCAATTCCGGTTGTGTCAACTCAGATAACTTTTCTGTTTCTTTTCCGCTTTTTTCAGTTTTTGTTTCAGTTACAGGTGGTGTAGGAGACGATTTTCCGGATCCTGCTGGTGACGTTTTTGCAGGGAGTAAATCTTTCTCTTGAATTTCTTTTCCGTCGAGTGACGATTTTCCTGATAATTCTTTCCCCACCGGTTTCATCTGTTCCGGTGTTGATTTTCCAGATAATAAAGAGTCTTTACTTTCGGCTTTTCCTGGAGAAAGTCTTCCCGATAATATCGGTGATGACTTTCCGGACAAACCTGGAGATGATTTTTCTGATAATAATGAGTCTTGATCGACTTTCATAAATTCGCTGTCTTTAATATCAGGAGTTGACTTTCCTGAGCTCTCTTTGGCTAAATCTGACGATAATGCAGGGGAAGCTTTTCCGGAAAGTGGTTTATCTTGATTCAAGAATTGTTCACTTTCTTTCTGATTATCTTGTACATCCGACTTCAACTCTTGTTCTAGTTTCATAAACTCTTTGTCTTTAATATCTGGAGTTGACTTTCCTGAGCTCTCTTTGGTTATATCTGACGATAATGCAGGGGAAGTTTTTCCGGAAAGTAATTTATCTTGATTCAAAAGTTGTTCACTATTTTTCTTATCATCTTGTTTATCTGACTTTGACTCTTGAGCAACTTTCATAAGTTCGCTATCTTTAATATCTGGAGTCGATTTTCCTGAGCTTTCTTTGGCTATATCTGACGATAATGTGGGGGAAGCTTTTCCGGAAAGTGGTTTATCTTCATTCAAGAGTTGTTCACTTTCTTTCTTATTATCTTGTTTATCCGACTTTAACTCTTGTTCAAGTTTTATGAGTCCAGTATTTTGAATATCTGGAGTTGATTTTTCTGAACTCTCTTTGGCTAAATCTGACGGTATTGTAGGTGAAGCGTTTCCGGAAATTTGTTTATCTTGATTTAAAAGTATATCCGACTTCAACTCTTGTTCAACTTTCATAAGCTCTTTGTCTTTAATATCTGGTGTTGACTTTCCTGAGCTCTCTTTGGCTATATCTGACGATAATGCTGGGGAAGTTTTTCCGAAAAGTGATTTATCTTGACTCAAGAGTTGTTCACTTTCTTTCTTATCATCGTGTTTATCCAACTTCAACTCTTTGTTATTTTTCGAGGTAGGTTCGCATTTCTCAAAGACCGATTCCGACATCTCCGAAATTATATTCTCCAAGACCTTCTCTTCTCTTTCTTTTTCAGTCAGTGGTTGGTACTTTTCAAAAACAATAGATTGTGCCATGTCCGTTACAGCGTTGTAATCTTCTTCAATCCCTTTTGCTACCTTTTCCAAAACTTTTTCTTCCTTTTCTTCCTCATTTAAAGGCTTGTATTTGTCAAACACGATCGATTGAGACATATCACTTAAAGTTTTGAAATCTTCTTCAATATTTTTGGCTGTATTTTCCAAAAATTCTTCTTGCTTTTGATGTTCCTCTTCGGGTGTTTTATCACATTTTTCAAACATCACCGATTTTGCCATATCTGCAACCACTTCGTATTTCCTTTCGATGTCATCAGCTGCTTTCTCTAAAACTTCCTCTTTCTCTTCTGAATCGTGCTTGAAAATTGATGTTACAGCTTCTTTTGTTTCTTCAACAAACTCTTTTACTTCTGAAACTCCTTTTTCGACAATTGATTCAACTTCACTCTCTATTTTGTGTGCTATACTTTCACCTTTTTTATCTTCTGTTGATGGCTCTTTTCGATCAGCTGTCAAAACATCAACGACCATTTTTTCAACACTTTCAAGACCGTTGTATAGGTCATATTTGATTTCTTCTTTTTTATCTGATTTAGTAACGAAAGGAGCTTCACTCACCGCACTAACAGTATGTTTCAAATCTGTTCCTGCTTCAGTCAAGTCTTTATTAAGTTGTTCCAATTTTCCTATTACTGTGTCTTTTTTTTCTACAAATATTTCCTCAACTTGTTTCTTTGTTTCAGCAACTTTCTCTTTAATTTCATCATGTTTTGTTTCAAGATCATTCAAGACTGATTCAACTTTGGTTTCAAGATTCTTAATCTGTGACTCGGCTTCTTCAGCAATTTTAACACTAGTTTCCTCTAAAACTTCTTTACTTTCATCAATCAATTCTTTTGATTCTGTTTTAGCTCCTTCAATTTCTTGTTTCACAATTTCAGTTTTTTCTTCGGCTTTTTTACTAACTTCCTTAATCTCAGTACTCATTCTATCCTTCACGTCTGCAAGTTCTTTCATTGCTTCAGCGACTTTAGTTTCTGCATCCCTTAAGATTTTCGCTTCAACATCGTTAATTACACCAACAGCGGTTGCTTTTTGTTCTATTAAAGTCTCCTTTACATCTTGAATTTTCGTTTCAACTAAATCTTTAGTTTCTTTAAGTTCTGTTTTAGTCTTTTCTACCACTTCTTCAGCATTTTTCACTACTGTATCTTCAAAATCTTTTGCAGCTTTGACTAACTCTTTCTTCTTTTCAATAATTTTTTCTTCGACAACTTTAGCTTCTTCGGCTTTATCTTTTGCACTTTCTAAGACATTAGTAGTTTCTTTTGTCACAGTTTCCTTAATGTCTTTAACTACGTGTTCAACAGTTTCTTTTTTCGATGTTAACTCTTCTTTCGTTTCTTCGACCTTTGCTTTAGTACTGTCTTTAACATCGTCGATTTCTTTATGAATGTTATCAATAAGTTTAGTTGTATCATTTACAAGACTTTTACCAATGTCACTAATAATTCCTCCAAGAAATGATTTTGTTTCTTCTACTTCCTTTACTACATTTTCTACTTTAGATTCAACGTCTTCCTTAACAGTTTTAATTTTTTCTGCAGCAATATCGTATGCTTTATCTGTCTCTTCCTTAACCACTTCAGCCACTTCTTTTATTTCTTCTTTTAAGATCTTTGCACTTTCTTGGAATTTGTCTTCATCATTCGGCTTTATTTTTGAGTCTTCTATCTTAGTAATATCATCTTTAATATCTTCTTTTTCTGATTCTTTAATTGTTTGTTTAATTCCTTCAGTAGCATTTTCTTTTTCTTTTTTTTGAATGTTGAGTATTTCAATCTTCGTTTCAGTTGTTCCTTTCTCCTCAGGTATTTCTTGTGATTTAGTTTTAATAATTTCATGTGCTTGGTTTGTGCTTTCTAAAACATCAGTTTCAGTTTTTGTTACAGTCGGTTCAACCTTTTCTTCTATTTTTTTTATTTCTTCTTTTTCAGTTATTGCTTCATCTTTGGTTTTATCTACTACTACCTCTTTATTATCACTACTTTTATCAGTATCACAAACAGGCTTATCGATCACAGACTGGGAATCTTTAATATCTTTAATCTCATCTTTGATTAGTTTACTTGCTTCTTGTACTGATTTTATAATAACTGTTCCATCCGAAAAAGTATCAGCAGTTGACGACTTTTGAGATTGTTTTTGCGACTGAACGTCGGGAGAAGAACGACCTGAACTTTCCGAACTTCGTGAAAACGTAATAGTGCCAGGTGGACAAATTTCAATTTCTTCACCTCCATCTTCACTAGAAGCCGTTACCAACATTCTATGAACAGTCCCAGCGTCAGTGTCTTGTTCTTCTTTAATATCTTCACTTTCTGGTTGAGCTTGTTTAATATCGGAAATGATTTTCGAGGTGGCTTGCATTAATTCATTTGATTCTTTAATCATTTTGTTAACTTTGGTTTCTTGAATTTCTGGTTCTTCATGAATTGGAGCAATTTTTCTTTCCTCTTCAATAAAATAAGTACTGCTAGTTTTCGGACAGATCGGTTCGGAATTTATTATTTTAGCTTCATCGGTTACGGGAGATTCCACAGTCGTTATGTGAGTTTCTCGTAATTCTGTAGTGTAACTCTTGTAAGGTATAGTAAAGGGAATTTTCCCCTCAAACTCCTCCAAAGGTGCATCTGATTTTAAAACTTCAGCAACGCTAGCAACTATTTTTGCAACATCTTCTTCTCTTTCTTTGGGTGATTTTTGACCTAAAGCCAATTTATCTTCAAGTATTTTATGATCATCAGTCATTGGCGATTCCGGTAAGGAGTCAGTTGTTATAATAACCGGCTCTGCATGTTGAGGCTCCTCGACTTTATGAGTAATAACTTTACTAACAGCTTCGATGTGTTGTTCTTCAACTTCGTCTTTGAGTTTTTGGAGTTTTTCGTCGACTTTTTCAATCATCTTTACGTCTTCTTTCACAATTTGGACTTCTTCTTTCGCAGGTTGGATGATTTTTTTCTCTGTTTTCTGAACTTGACTTTCAACAGGTTCGACCTCGTCACTCTTAAGTTTTTGAAGTTTTTCATCAATTTTATGAATCACTAATACGTCTTCTTTTAACTTTTCTTGCTCAGGTTTATCAACAATAATTTCGTCTTTGGGAACATCAGGAAGTTTCTGTAATTCACCTTTAGTTTCGTCTTTATTTTCGACTTTTTGTTCCTCTTTTGGTAAACTTTCTTTTCGTTTGTCAAGCTGTGCCTCTTTAAGTTGTTTATCATCACTTTTCTCATCTTTCTTTACTTCCATGTGAACAGGTGGTACTTTATCTTTTTCTTCCTCTTTCTTCTGCTCCAATTCATGTTCATCTGTATCTTTTTCTTCATCTGGAGATTTCGACAATTCTTTTTTATTTAAGTCTTCAGATATCACATTTGCTTTATCATCTTTAGTTTCTGCTTCCTTTTTATTATCTATATCAGTCTTTTCTTTATCTACAGGTTCTTTTGTCTTTTTGTCATCTTCAATTTTTTTTCCGAAATCAGGCTTTACTTCCTTTTCTTCCTTAGTTTCTTCTTTTTTCGCTTCTTCACTTTCTTGTTTACTATCTGCTCCGTATTCAGCATAATGATCAAACTCAACTTCTTCATGAACAGGTAAATCAGCTACTTCGTCTGGTGTTTTAACAATATCTCTAATATGAGACTGTTTGTCCAAACGAATTCCAACAACAGGTGGCAATTTTGGTACAGAATCGAATGTTTTCGGCGGCAATTTTATCTCAGGAATATCCTTCTCCTTAGTATCTTCTTTCACATGCTTTTCTTCAATTATTTGATCGCCGTTATCTTCCTTAATTTCATCAAGTGGCATTCTTTCATCTTCGGGTAAAGTAGGTGCGGTTGTAGTAGCCCCAGATTCGATATTAGCTGAACCTTTCTCGTCAGGTTGCGATTCTGGAGCAACTTCCTTGTTTTCGTTATCAATATCTTTCTTATCTGTAGAAACGTCATTTTTTTCTTCAGGACTAGTAACGGACCCCTCTTTTGAAGCTTCAACCGTTTCTTCTTTTGGTTTTACAATATCAGTAGCAGAAGTGATGATTTTTTGAACTTCTTCCTGAATTTGAGTTTGCTTCCCTTCAATCTCAACGTCCTTTTCACCACTTCTCTGTTTCTCTGATTCTTCACTGTCCCGGGCAATTTTTTGAGTTTCTTCCTCTTTATTCGATTCAGCTATTTCACGTTCAATTTCAGTCTTTTCAATAATCAAATACTCTTCATTTTCTAACTTATCATCAAGAGATAGATCTTTGACTTTACGAAAATCTGATGATTTTTCTTCCTGGAGCTCGCTTTTACGAAACACTGCCTCAATTTCTTTCACCGCTTCTTGTTCTTCTTGCAAGTCTGCTAATTCTTGTGCTTTGAGATTCTGGAGTTCGTCTGTGGTCAATTTTGATATGTCTTTTTTAAGAATACTGTCCTGATCGGCGGATGGAGTACTAACAGTACTTGAATCTGTGGTTCCTTCCTTATCCAGTTTGCCTCTTCTAGATATACTATCTGGTTTTTGGACACCGTTGACTTTTTTAGACGGACTTGCCGCTAGTTTGGAGATGTCTTTGGGTCGTCTAGAAATTGGTTTGCGTTCTGTTTTCGGCTCTTTTTTCTCTGCGGTTGATTTTGGCGGTTCCCGTTTTGGTGCTGATTTAATTTTGGATTCTACCACTTTCCGGTTATTTTCGTCTTTGGCGCTTTTTGCGGGAGTGGCAGTGGGGGAAGATTTGGGTTTAGGTTTAACTTCTCCATTGACTTGTTTTTTGGGAGTTGTCGGTGAAGGTTTCTTTTCGACGTTTTTAATTTTTCTTTGTTGGGATTCGCTTCGAGGTTTGGGTTTTAGTTCGGTTTTAGGTTTGGGTTTAGGTTTGTCTCCATTTTCGATGATTTTCTTTGTTTTGGTAACACTTTTCTCGCTTTCTGTCGAGTCTGATTTTTTGACTGGTTGCCCTTTTTCGGGTGCTACTCCATTTATTTCCCCGTTTTTCATTTCGGAGTCTATGTTGTCTGTTGGTGGTTTTGGTGGTTTTTTATTATCGACTGGTATTTTCTTTTCGGGTTTTTCTGATTGGATGATTCTTTCAATCATCGACTGTTTGGTCTTGATGATGGATGTTGGGGCGAGAGATTTTTCTGAACACACTGGATGTTTAATAAATTCTAAGCTCTTGAGTCGGTCTAAACCTTCGAAAATTTTATTTTGTGGGCTACTTCCGGGGAATAGGATTCTGGTGATGGTGTCTTCTGGATTTGCTGGTTGCCAGACAAGAAGGGCACAAATCGAGACGAGATTTTGAAGAGGAAAGACAAAATCTTTGTTAATTTTTGGATTGGCAAATAGTTTTTGGTCATTATTGTTCCATTTTTGTAGGAACTCTCTGACTTCTTTGGAGTCTTTGGCAGGACTTAAAACGTACATATCTAAAGTACCGTGACCTACTTTATGGTATAAATTGATGGGCTCGGAATCACGATAGCAAACCTGAGGAATGAGGCTTAAGTGCCTCAGGTTAGATACAATATCTTGACCTTCATCCAATAAATTTATTAAAAGAGGATCTTTATCTTTATCCCCATCTGGACTAAGGATGGCTTTTCTCTCCTGTATGTTGCAAAAGAAATGTCCGATTTGTGGATACACAGCATTTTGTTTTTTCCTTTTTAAAACAGCACTAATACCATTTACGTTACTATTGTTCAGTCTCGTGAGTAACACAGCATCTAGTCGATCAAGATGTCTGACAAAATCCCAGAAACAGGCTTTCCTCGAAAAACCTCCATCTAGGAGCATGTTGAAACCGTTGATTCCGAACAAAGCAGCATCGCCCTGTCCTCCAGGAAAAACATAAAGCGTCGGTCGCGAAAACCGAATATTACCAACGACATCCGAACTTTCCAAAACATTTTCCAACTCAGCAGGAATAAGGAACGGCTCTAAATAATTAGTAAAGCTGCTGATGGATGGCGATCCCGTTGTAAGGACGTCATTGGGGTTCACTCGAACTTTGCACCCTTTCGTAAACGGATCTTTAGGCAATCGAGTCCAATCACCTTCTGGGGCACAGTGGATATCGAGAGAAATGCCGTTCTCATAGGCTCGTATCACTCGCAGCACTTCGATCTCCTGAAACGCCTCGGAAAAATCGGCCAAGGAAAACGTACCGTCCTAAAAACGCCAAGTTATTCGACCATTTTTTCCACAGCTGTACAAGCAATACCTGCAATACCCAAGAACCGTTATTTGCAAATGTATATCCGGCGTGAATAATGTGACGATGTCGTGTGAAACTACTTAGCAAGTTCCTCACGCATTGCGCCAATGTGCTCACCACAGGGTGAATCAGAATTTCCGTCACCAAATTTTCGGATGCAAACTGGATGAGGCGCTCGCCTGAAAACAAGTTTAAGAATCAATATCCCTCAGGAGAACAACCCAAATATATTTCAAGCAAAAGACATTTTTCTATCACGGAATTAGGGAAACCTATTTTTATCCTGTTGACCTTTCCAAGCAAAAATTTATACAGTTTCTGGTTGATTTTAAAAATTATACTTGAAATAGATGTCTTAACTATCCTAGTAAACTTTTTTCGTATTTCTCCTTTTACGAAAGCCATTTTCGTGCGATAACAACTTAGGGAATAAAAGCCCCTTACAATGCTCGAAAATCCCCAAACTACACCAATAAATCACCGATATTTGTGTGTTGGCAGAGCTTAGCACAATTAATACAAGCCCATTTGCAGTTTTGTTTTATGTTGCGATAAACATATAACTGCAAATAGCTTTATGTCGGAATATCACAGAGCAGATATTATATTTCGATCGATACTCTCTCGATTTTTCTCACTCACATATGACAATGAAGAAATTGCATTTGATATAGGCCTGAAAGGGCTAACAATACCGAGTTCTTATCACCTTCCTGCTAGATTACTCTGAAATGCTACAATAGCAGGTTTCGTCGCTCTGAAACAAGAAAAGCCGTAAAAGATAAGAAAGAGCCTCTCGAAGAAACGAGTACAATACAAATTGCTGCTGACGTTTCACATCGTGACAATTTTAAGGCAATTATGGCTTAGGTGGAGTAAATCGACGAATTTTTTTTTTAATATTGAACAAAAATACACAGTCCATTAGACACAAACACGAAAAAAAAGATATTTTAGGCAATTGAGTCGCTTTGTGTGTCCTCTGTTGACTTTCCCTCGGTAATATTTGATCCTTTAAAGTTTCAACAAAAGGAAGAAAAACACAAGTTTCGGATTCTAAGCGAACAACGCCAGTCAAATATTAATAAAGAAAGGAGAAATATTTGGAAAGTTTGAGCTTTCGAGTTATTACTTCATCATAAATCGAAAGTGCTCAGGCAGGGATAAAAACCCTTCATGGATAAAATTTGTCCCTTTTCACACCTAATTAACCCTCTCAGTTATTCATTTCATTTAGAATAGCCACGTATTAAAATGTTTAGTTTTTAATCTAAAATTGTGTAAATGTAACTCTTATTTTACTCTTCCAAAACATTGCACCAGAGCAGAATTTTCAAAACGAGCAAAAATTCACGTTATCTTTCTCTCCGCGTGATAAATTCCGAATCCGCTCTTTACGACCCAAAATAACTTAAAGGAAAGGTTCACATAAGTGTCAAAAATGTATGATTGAAACATTGAAAGCACTTTTACGAGTGTTTATGCCGTAATCTAGAAAAGTGCTTGTTGCTTACCATATCTGGCTTCCTCCCCTTCGAGGGCTTGTTCGGTTATTATAGCTAACTCCTTTTCTAGATCGACGAGGCAGTCGTTTACGTCCCAAGACAGTAATCCTGAAACAAGAAAAATAATTCGGTTAAATTAACGTCAAGGGTGGAATCTAGTGGAATGTCCATAAAGTCTCCCTAAACCCAACATCTAATTACATAAATAAATTTCCAAGACAACTAAATCGTTTCATTGTGTAAATGCGGTTTTGGGTCTAATTAAATGGAAAATTTAAATATCAGGAATCTTGAAAAGAAATAAGTGCATGTGACAGACAAACACAATTTTGTAAAGATCCTTTATGTTTAAAAGGAAGCTTTTTGTTTGATGGCCTTATTCCTTGAACTTTAACATTTCAAAGAAAATGTGCTCATATGAAAGAAAGAGTTAGATCAAAACACTAAGATTGATGGAGGCTCAGAGATCCAATCCGACCAATAAAATATTCCCATTTATTATGATCGGGTAAAAAAATGTCATGTTTTACGACCAAAATTGGGTTGGTGAGAGTCAAACGTTACCATTCATATCATAGTTTGTGCTTTCAAGGGAGCTACATTAATATGCAACTAATATGCAAATGGGCATTTCTGTTAACACTAAAATTAGGAAATCTCTTTAGTAGGCAATTTGATAAGTAAACCCAAATCAAGCAATTTAAATGAATTCTAACAAAAGTTCTTTCCACCTGCAACATTTTCTCCTGAGCTTAAGTCTCCAATTAAAATAAGTTATGAAACATTTAAAACTCAGCAATTCATTAACTCGATCACACAAAAATCATCACAAAATACGCACACTTTCAATAAATTTCAATTCAAGTCTTATTTTTCACATTACTGATGTCGTCAATACAAGAAATTGATATTCTCGGCCTTATTTACAAGGCTCTATTAATAGAGATCGATTCCGACAGCAAGTAAAAAATATTTTCTCTTGTGCGAATTAAATATTTTCTCAGATGTTGATGAAAATCCGGAGATTTTCCTCCAAGAATAATTGAGATTTTATCGCCAACATTACAATAGATGAAGAAAAATCGACGCACACTTTCAAAAGAAAATATTTCAAACTTTCCGCTTTATTGGAAAATATATGGCGCGTCTAAGAGGAAAAGTTCACAAATTGTGTGAGGTGTTGCAGGATTATTTCAGTCAATATAAAATTATACAGTATTGATCGGGAGGAGACTGCTTTGTGAATTTTTAGCACTGATAAATTGTACCCCAAATTTCATTACCCTTGGGGCAAGTACTAATTAAGTACATGATTACCAGCGCAACCAAATTAGTTAAAGTTTACAAGATTTTAATTGAATATTATTACTAGGGCCGATGCGAGGAATTTTCGCCAGCGAAGTGGGCCATTAAGCATCATATTTTGATTAAACAGAATGCTCTTTCAGATGAATTACCCATCAAAAAAAATGTGAAAAACGAGGCTTTGACGGAAAAAAGTAAAGTGAAGTTTGAATGTGGTGCAATGTCGTGACCGTCATATTTGACCTTTTAATGGCAATCAAAGAATTCCACTTTTTCGCAACAAATTGTAAAATTTATAACACTCAGATCTTCCCAAACTTATTAAAAATGTAGACACAAAAAGTAACACTTTTAAAATTAGGGTTGTGTAATAAAAAAAGCTTTTATTCCAGCACCAATTTCCAGATTAATTTAATACTCCCCGAGTCTTGAGAAAATAAGATATTTTTTCGTTTTTTCAGCGTTATAATTGGAACAATGGATTCAATTTCAGTGGTCTAGACAGCTCATAAAAAATCTATCTAGTCACAGCATACAAAAATAGAAACACTTCTTAAACATTTCCTGGGACCGTACAATTTCCGGTGCTTTGAAGCGAGTTAACATACATCTAATAATCGCGATTCCGGGAGTTATACCCGGAAAACTAACTTCGACCACATATCAGGCCGCAATATCTGCTGCTTCAACATTAATTATCGCTCCACAGGAATGAACATGACACGGTATATCCATAAATTCCTGCCAGATCAGTCGACCGAAAAGCAAAAACTTTTCAAATACTAATTATCGAAGAAATAATTACAAGCAAAGTTAGTGTCGTCAAATTCGATTTGAATGTTTTACGAGACTTTTTCCTTATTAGAATTGGAAAAATGATAATCAAAAATAGAAACTTTGATGTTTTGATTTAATAATTTAATATGTTCCCATAGAACCACTATAGAGTTTTGACATGTACACTTTAAAGTAATAACTGTCCAGATTGTCTTTTGATTACTTAAAGTGGATATTTAATTCAAAATCTTTCTTATCGGAATTTGATTCATGCAATATTCATGATTTTAATAAAAGTTTGCCTTTACCGCAAGCTACAATACGTATTGATCTTTATGAAATGTCAAAGAAATAATGGTCGAGTCCAGGATCGGACTGCAACTCAACGGAAAAGAAAGATTAATAAATCACCAGCCTACAGGCTCCAAGATAATTTTCCAAAAATTACCCACAAGCAAGCAAAGCTGTCGCATGTTTCAGCTTCATGGCTGATTAAATTGGGTCATATTTACTGTCTGCCTTAAAGCAAACAAATTTCGTACCCCCAGGTGTCTTAATTTTATCGATAAAGGTGCGTGATTTAGGGCAAACACAAGTGCGTGAAATTTTTCAAGAAACCGAGCTGGTCGATAGCACCTGAACAATTTTTACCTGATAGTTTTCATTAGCTTGATTGGTAATTAGCGGAAGCAGCCGAGCAAACACTAATGGATGTTTCTAACGGCAAAAATGATTTTTCGAAACCGAAACCTTGAAGTATAAATTTAACTTGAACCCAACGTTGGAAATGTTAGGCTAGGTTGACACCCGTGGCTGCTGGAAATAACTTCTTATTTATATCTCCTGGAAGACAAGTCGTGTTTAGACATGGAGGAATGTTTACTAACTCTCTGAAGGGTGAAAACCGAGTTATAATTTTATTAATTATAAAACATTCTCTTAATTGAGTCGCATTCAAACCACGTAATTAGTGGTCAATAACAAGCCTTGATTAGGGCAAGAGTTCTCCCCGAAATGGACCAACTTTTCAGAAAATTAAAACCAAACTCTCTTAATTCAATTTACTCCATGTGCTATCGCGATCGACCAGACACGTGTACTAAGTGTTGAAAGCTTGAAAACAGAATATTTTCAACCCTTCTTCACGTAAACACAATAAGAAGGAAGTCGTGCGTTACAAATAACAGACGCAATGTTTTGAATGTTTAACTAGAGGATTCCTAATTGTAAAATATGTCTAGTTAGGATAATTAAGTTAGCAGAGCGTTGCGACTAAACGGCAATATTTGCTCAATAATCAAATTACTGTTTGACTTGCTCAAATTTGGTGCCAATTTGGTTAAAAAAAATTCACGAGACAATTGTTGTTTTAATGTAATTGGCATTTAAAACTCGACAGTAACATTCCCTTGTAATGATGACGTTCCAACATTACAACTGCAGATCGGCAATAAATCCTCGAATTATGTCCTGCAGATGACAGTCCTCGAAGATATCGTGCCAAATCAGATACTCTACGTCCTGGCAAATTCATTACTTTTATGACCTCACATTACACAACCCTCTTTTCAGAGGTTTCAGAGATTACGATGAGGTAAATTTGACACCGGATCTAAGTCTGGTCCTTAGTTTAAGGCTTCGCCTGACCTTGATAACGTTGTTTTAGCAATTTATACCAGTTATATTTTAACAGCATTGTAAAACAATCAAATCAAATTCTGCGTTGCAGTAAATTAGGAGATTCAGTCATGAAAACACAGTGATTTTGACAGAGGACGAGGGCCGGCTTTGTGAATTTCACATGCAAATTAAACAAAAAGGGTAATAAAAGATTCATTATCTCATTGGCTAATTCACAACACACTCTACAATCCGAGTTATTTCATCTGCAAGTGAAATTGTGAAATATTTATCCTTTCGGTGAATAATTTACTTGCTTTCGCCGGGTTAACTCGAGAAATAGAAGTGTTGCGATTATTACGAATTTATTTCACTCTTGATTTATACGTTTCCCGCATACGTGTACAAACTTAATTTAAAGACGAGTTTATTTTTTCGTTTTATTGATCCGAAATGGACCACTCAACCAGCTTTAATGGCTTCTTGTGGGAAGTTGAAAGGTATGGAGCCATTAGAAAAAGGTGAAATAAGAAGCGCTAATTAATGGAGTCGCGGATTTATACTAAGAGCTGTTTTTACAGTGAGTGAACTCAACAAAGGATGGGAGGAGTAGCATCCGACGCATTAAAATTATCAAGGAGTGCTTCAAAATTATAATTTGTAATTTGAAAGATTATTGGTGTTATAAATTGTTACTTATTACTCATTGGTTAAGTGTTAGATTCGAGATGATCTCATTTGCAAATGGTCAATTTTGGTTGAAAACTTTGTAATACAGTAAAGTCTATTAGCATAGTTTCATAATAAGTTGGAATTACTCCAGTTTATTAGACTGCATAATGGATTTTATAGAGAAAAGTGGACAAGTACGGATTATGCCGCAAGAAGAAATTGGGAAATGAAATAAAATGCAAAACAAAGTTATTGGAAATGCTTTAATTTTGTATTTTTTCTCAAGGTTGTGTCATTGTGGATTTTCCCAACATAAATGGCACATCCATCGGCTGTGAAATTCGGACCACCTCCAATTTTCCCGTCAAGTTATCCGTTTTCCATTTCACGCCTCTCCTACCCGATCCCAAATTCACTTTGGAAATTTCCCGATTTTCCTTGACGGCTCATTTTGTGAGCACCGAGTGCCATTAGTCGCGTTTTCAGCCAATTAGTTAAGTCGGCTTCGAAAAAGTCGTGTAATTTCAGCCCAGCAACCGTCGAGGAAAATTGCAAATTCGGGCTGAATTGCGTTCTATTGATCGAGAAAGTCTTGCGCCGTCGATGTGACCCTCGTCGACGCGCACCAGGTCATAGAATGATGCGCACAACTTTTCGAATACGATTTAGAAATTTTTTTCTGAAAAAAGCAGGTGGTTTATGGGGGATTTGGCCGAGAAGGCCTTATCCGTCCGGAACAGGCCCAAAGTTTTTCCAAGGTGTATAATAGAGGGGATTTATGGGAATTGCTGGAAATGTGAGGAAATCACAAACGTGAGGCTCAAATTAAATTATAGCAGGAGGGGATTTACAGATTAGGACTTGTCTTAATGACGCGTGGACATCGATCGGTCCCTTCCACGGCAATTTTTATGACAAAAAAATAATTATACCATTTGTAATCATTCACAATGTGTGTCATAAAACCGTCATTACACACTTGGTTATTGATTGTAACATTTAAGCAATGCTTTCAGCCAATAATAATTCATGTATAAACATTTGCCATTTAAATTTTCCACACGACTTATTAATATCCATTTTGCAAGCAATAAATAATCGTTAAAGGCTTTTGCGGCAAAAAATATCGTCTGGTTTAAGAGTGATAAAAAACATCAAATAGAAAAATTGTTAACAAATATTAATCAGCTTCCATTCAAAATAATCCGATTCAAAATTTGCAAACATGATAATAACAGAATTAAACTAACAATTTGGTCATTTATCATCGACAATTTAGTCAATATTGGAACACCATCTGCATTAAAATTATCAACTGTTAAATAGAGTGGCTAATGCCCACCCAACCCATATTTTACACTACTAATCCTAGAACAAAATTTATGATTCCGTGTTGCTGGTAGGAAATTAACAAGCACCCAAATGTCTGGGGTAGTCCCGAAAATAACCAACTCTAAATAATAGACTGTCATAATAATACAATAATAATAATAATCAATAGTTAGCAAACATAAATATTTCGTGTATTATTGTTAAAGCACACAAAAGGCAGCAACTCAGGTAAATGAAGCCCATATCGATCGTTGACAAACACCAATAGCAATAAATTGGTAAGAAATGAACCCCATTAGCAGAATTGCTTCGGTTAGTGACCCCCAAAAATGCGTTGATTACGGGCAAAAATAGCACAATAGAGACATTTCAAGTGTTGGGGTAGCTATCACCCCTTGTGCACTTGTTTACACATCCGTTTTATCGCTGATATTTGAACAGTATTACCGTCGTCGAATACACAATTATGCATAAGGCAAACTTTCCGCCGTAAACAAAATGGAAAAGGCTGGAGGCAGGAAAAACTTAAATACGAAACCTCTGAAAAAGTTTAACGTTCAATTATGTTAAATTGCGTTTTCCGCTCGGGGAAATCCCGACATATGCACAGAAATTGTCCATTTTAATTAAAGTTGTGTGACCAAATCTGGATGGGCTTGTAAAGGGTGAAAAGAAGGGTTTGAACACGTCTTAATAATTTCCCCTTTAATGGCCATTCGGGATAACAAATTGCAAGCGTGGAATGTAATGACATTCGGAACGAGCTCGTTGCCAATTCACAAAGAACGGTGAGATTACATACTTAGAGAAATGAGACCAATGAGAAGGAAATGTTTCAACACCCTTGAACAAGGGTTTGAGGCCTGATCCGGTTGGATGATAAACGAGTGGCGACAAATTTGAGCCTTGACAATATTTATATTTATTTTCAATTAAATTGAATTCTGATCAATATTTAAAAATTAAATGAAACCTAGAAATTTCACAATCCGATTTTCTATTTATAGTCGCGTCAATGGTGATAGAAATTGCTTGTTACCACCCCGACTAAAAGTAAGTGAAAACTTCTTGAATATGAGATTGAAATTAATATTCCAGGAGCATTTCTGTGAATTCTCTAAGGATTACGAAAAGCACGTAGTACTACTTCAATCACTAGGTAATAGGTTCTTATCTTCGCAGCGTTATAGAAGCAAATTCTGAACATTTGAGACGTCTTAAATTTTACTTAAATTAATTTAAGCCAAAAATGTAAATATTCAACGTTTAAATTTTGAAAAAGTAAATACTGATTTGCATTAAATTTTAATAAATTTTTATGCTTATATATTTTTTAATTCCTCAAGAGCGCGCTTCATCGTCTTATGATATACGGCATTCCTTCAGAATTTGTTTGGATAAAGTACAAAAAATTTCGTTATTAAACCTAGTCACAGTGCGTACTAAATCTCATCTCGTGTTCTTCCAAGATAATCTATATTCTAGCCAGATTTATAAACATAATAGAATTACGTGTCTCAGACACTAGACATAATCTGGCGTTTAAATTTAATCTCACTGGAGTTTAAATTTGTCTCCAGGTGGAGAACTCATGTTCTAACATCCTCATAAAAACAGCTACACTAATAGAAAATTATTTTAGTGTGACTAAACCGTGAAAAATTTTTATTCAAGGTTTGTTTAATATTTTGGCACACTTCCAACGTTGTTTGTTTACAAAAGTTGGAAAAAATACAAGTGAGACGGGAGATAAAACTTTTGCATAATGGCAAAGACGCGAGTTGAAAATTTCAGTCAAAGAAATTCGCTGAAATAGCCATAATACATTCATATTCAATTTCACCCTGAAAAGCTCAATGCAACACAAAGGCGAATATTGAATATGTTTAAATATTTTTTATTGTATCGATTTTCTCATAAAATCACAGTTTTAAAACTGTCTCGCCTACTTGCGTGCCCAGTTGAATCATCATTGTGGTCGTAAATTAAAACCCTCACTTATAAAAATCGATTGAAATTTTTCTCGCAGCATTTTTACCTTGATACAATTTGCTTGCTCAAGATAAGACACAATTTATGATCATTTCTATGCAAACTGCATTGATGTGTACACGCCAAATTTTTTTATTTTTTTTTATGAGAGTTAAATAAAAATGTGACATGTGCACATGCACGTGCATTTTAAAATTACCTCATCTTGATTCATTTTTTCAAAAATTAATTTTGTGTGAATGCCTTGCGCAACATGACATTACAAAATCCTTTTGACAGCAAGGATCACTTGCGCATGTCCTAGAGTAAAAATCGAACGCTACTATTGAAAAAATTCTAATTAAGGATTGTTACCAATGACAGGAATTTTAGCCACCAAGGGAGGTAAAAAAAAACCTTCTTGATTAATTATACTTGAAAAATTTTACAGTTTATTTGCTTGTCTAACCCAGACATTTACTTTTTTATTGCAAAATAAGTGAGTAATGTATTGAAAATTCAAAAACTGTTTTAAATAATTGAGTTGTTAATTCCTGTCTAAAAATTGCATAGGGGACTTTGTCCTTGCAATCCAAAGGATGACTCAGTTCCTGCAAATTCGCTCACCTTTGGCCACCCTCTGAAGAATAATGTCCTTGTGTTCGTTGCAGTGCGGTTCCCCGATGACGATGAGGAGGTAGCACCCGGTGAGGGGGCTCGGGGGCGGCGGCCCCCCCTTGTCCCCCTCGGACACCTCATTCACAGCCTCCATCCGTCTAACCCTGTACTCCTCACAGCCCCAATAGTTTGTGTAATATTAAATCGACCTCTTAGGGTCAGGTCACACTGCTCCGGAACGCACCGGAGGATAGACGACTCGCGAATGCCGGCCGGCTGTGCGCTATGCAGTAGCAGGAAAGCCTCCCACCCCCCCTGCCAGACAACACCCCCACTCAGCTGACTCGGGGTGCGATGTGGGACAGACGAAGCTCTCGCAGGAGGGGACCCAAAGCTCAACTGCCCTAATTTAGGCACGTAGGACCCGAAAAGCGCACCGTATTAACGACCTCTCGCAAAGAGCACCTAAAGCTCAGCAGGAAATTGTCGACTTTTCCAGAGAACATAATTGAGACATTACGCATATGTCTAGTTCTAGCTTCAACAATCTCAGTAAGACAGGAATTAAAAGCTCTACTTTGGCAGAAAAATTGACATGGGATTTATTTTAGACAAAACCCAGCAGGAATTCATTTGTTAAAAGCAATTTAAAGCTAAATCAAAAATTTGCATGGTTGCTCTGCGTTAATGATTTGAACATCAAAGACGCTTTAGAGTTTATAAAAAGTAAACTTCCCTTTGAGCCATAAAAAAATTGTTTTTACTAACAACTTGACTTAAATTACTCCATTAATTAGTGAAGCTATAAAAGTAATTTAAGTAATTTGCAACAGTGGTTGACTTATTACTCGTGCATGAAATAATTTAAACTATATATTCTATTAAAATGAAACCAAATTGTACAGTTACGAGTATGGTGATGAGTTTCTCGTGTTAACTATTATTAGATTAATTTAAATTGTTCCAGACTCTAAACTAAATTTATAAACGATTTTAATTAAAAAGTGGCAGTTTGATGAGAAAAAAAAATATTTTCAATAACAGCCGATTGGAAGTTTGCTTTGAAAAGAAAATAACGTCGGATAATAAAAAACGTTTTATTTTATTTGCCAACATTATTAGTTTGCTGTGGCCTTTTATTTTTCAATTCGCTTTTGGGGCATATTCTAGCGAGTCTATTAAATTTTTAAAAGGGGATTCTCGAGAGCGGCTCTCCCAACATGTCACAGAAAGTTACTAAAACATGTATGGAGAAAATTAAATAACAGTTCCTGCAATATTCTGCAGCAATAAAATAAATTTTTCTAAGAAGTATAAAATATAGATTGGCAACGTAAAGTGCCAAGGAGAACTATTCAAGCTGAACATCACATTTACTCAAGAAATAAGAAATTTTCAAGTACTTGTTCTTTATTGGGAAATAAATTGAAATTACAAAAATAATCTCTTGATCTTCAATTATAAATCACACTTGGAAAATATTTACCAACCTGAATACAAATGTCTTTGTTCTAAATTCGTTCTTTGATCACTTTCCTATTAGCTTGTCTATTTACTCTTCCAAAATAAACCAGTTGAAACAACGAGACAATCTTAAAATACATTTTAAAAACACAAATTAGTTTAACTCATTTAAAAAAATAATAACTTCCGGTTAACTGTTCCGACGCGTTGAACTATTTTTTTCCAATTGAATAGTCGTAACAATCATTTCAAAGAACATTGATTGAAACTTTCCAATTTCATTAGAGCTTTAGATGGCTTAATTGCTGCGACATAATTGATGAAAAGCTGAGTAAATCGAAACAATTGTAATTTGTCTCTCTGATCAATTCACCAAATTTCCTCTATATTTTTTATGCGAGTTAGAACGCGACAAGCTGTCTAGTAGTTTTACGAAAGATCAGAATGATTTATTTTGTTTATTAAGGAAGAAAAATTTATACACGGAGAGAGCATGACGAACCAAATATGAATAAAATCGTAATAAAATATAACGGAATAAACATTAATATTCTGTTGGTGAAACTGAAGAGATAATTTTTTTGAGTTTGTAACTATATGAAGAAATATGGCGAGGTTTATGCCACAATTAGTCTTTGTCAAGCGAACTCGCTCCACCTTTATTTTAATAAATTGTTATTTCAATCACAAAACTGAGCCATCAATCATTTTTTAGCTAGATTTCAGCAAAATTAAAAATTTCCAGACAAACTTTATAGGCCTTAAGACAAACAAATGATTTCTACTCGACTTAATTACATTAACCCACTTAGTTCCATTGTTAATGACTCTTAAAATCAGGAGATAACGAAGTTAAAGTGAATTATCGTTTGACCATTAATCCAAATATACGTCGGGTGTGTTCTCTGTTCATTTCGCTCTCTTGCGTAAGTATTCCAATATTCAAATTCGCTCTCAATTAAAAACAATTCCTGCAACCGGCTTAATACCAGATTGGTGAAACTGCATCATCCGTAACAATGCAAGCCGATGACTTGAACATTTTTTTGAACACTGCAATTCTTGCAGCATTCTCCTCCATTTCAAATGAATGAATATTACGGTCATTGCATGAGAAACGTACATTCTATGCAATTAAAAAAGTCCTGATGGAATTCCAAGAGGGGAATATAATGGAAGGGAGAGTCTCGCAAGTATTGAGCCGGGAGCAACACGCACGCGTACACACGCTCCGGATTTCCGGTTGGCTCCGGTCTCTGTTTTATAACACCAGCTGATCCGGGTTTGAAGGAATGCCGCCCAAATTCACTTTTTCGCCCGGGAAGTGTGAGAGTCATTTGCGTTCTAACAACGACCGTTTTGTTGGTCCCGAGGGTTGGTCACGTGATCGGATAATCCTCCGGGTCCTCAGTGAATGGCCTCGACACAAACGAACGTTTTATTAAAGTTTGTAGCTTAGTTCGATCAATAGAGCGAAAAAAAATCAAAACAGGTGTCTGATAAATTAATGCAACGATCACATAACGATTTTTGTGTTAGCCCAAATTATTATTTAATTTTTGTTTGGGAAAAAACAAACGTGGAGAGGAGGAAATGGATGATGAATTGGTTGTATCCAAGTCGGGAAGCTACCAAACAAAAAATTTGGCCACTTGTATTCGAATAAATCATTTTTGGTTTATCTTAAGAGTATTAGAAAATCCAGCTTTTATTCGTGAAAAAAATCAAGGAAATTTTCATTAAAAAATCTGATGGAGCTGAAATCACCGATTGAGCTCCAACTACTCGAAGAAAATTGAGATTTTTCGCAGATGTTACCGCACCGATTGATTTATCAAATTACACCCAAATTGCAGTTGACTTTATTTCGAGCGTTTACGTAATTGTTCATTAAATTCAATGTCATTTCCACGTGATAATCTTCCATTTTCATTAAAATAACACTCGAGCTTATAAAATCCACATTAGTTACGTCATACGCAGAGTTACATCTTTTGTTGAGAGCTTTAAGCCCGTTGTGTCCCTAAAGCTCGACACATTGTTCTCGTGATGTTTCTCGTTTATAATCCTGCGAAAAACAATAGCTGCGGAATATCATTTCGCGGCTTATGTCACGATAATTTATATACAGCGAGTAAAAAATGATCCCAAGAACAAAAAAAAAAACAATTAAACGTGGACAGTTTGTTATTTTTCATACAAGATAAAAGTGTTTACAAATTTTTATGAAATTCAACCGCTGTGAAACTGTTTTTCAGGTCATTACCAAGTTGTCCACTGTTTTAATCAAAATTTCATCTGGTAAAACAAAAAGAAATTGTTTGTGTAGCAATTTTTCCTAATATTCAGGCAACCACGCATACAGCAATTCCTGCTACTCTTCGCATTCCTGCTCTCCGCATCGAAATGGCGAAGATGGTGCGCAAGTGCCGCGCATTTCGTTTCCTCAAGTTCTTCACGCAGCCTCAGAATATCTTCTGTCGTCTGTTGTTAACTAACACCAACCAGTGGTCAAAGAAGACATGAGCAGGAATGACCAGCAGGAGGGGACTGAAGACAGCTGTCAGCCGTCTATCATCCATGCCACTGCGACGTCACAATTCTCCGTTTCGTAGCAGGAAAGCAGGATGCCCAGGGAGGTCGCTGAAAATAGCCCCAGCGCATACCCCAAAAGGAGGGATGATTTATTGATACGGAAAATGGCGCCGGATTAGGGGTGATTGAAATGGAAACACAAATTGTTAAATGTCACTTGACTTCAAGTGACTTGAAATGAAAGAAAATCAAATATTTAAGGATATAATTTATAAAAACAATAATTTTAATTGAGCAGGACTCAATTTTATTATAATTTGTTTTATAAGCAGATATGACTAAATTTTGATGATAAAAGTGTGATTTTGATTGTAGTAATAGACGGAAAATTATGCAATTTTAGTTTAATTATCCAAAACATAATTACTTTTGTTAATTTTTGAATGAAGCAAAATAAAGTGTCAATCAAATTTATTTTTGCAACAAAATTCGTTCAGAAGAATCAAGTTTTGATACACCGTTTAGAGCTGAGAGCTTTCAGGTGCGTTCCAAAACTGAATGTGAGCCAAAATTCATTTCCATTGCCAATAAATAACTGGGACCTCTCCTGTGTTGCACATGTCTTAAAACCCTTTCACGTATCCCACATATGACGTAACATTTATGGTTACACATGGTTGCTGAATAGCGAGCATACTTACCAGGAGAACATTGGACGTGGGAGGTAAGTAGATTTTCCGCACTTGTGTCGGTAATACAGAAATCTATTGTGTTTTGTCCAAAAATTGTAAAAAAAAAACATTTTTTGAATCTCATTAGGTAAAATTATTGCTTTTTGTCGACTGCGACAAATTTGGGTGAATTGTTTCAAAAATTTTAATTTTTGGTTGCGTTTACTTTGGAGAGCATTTACGAGATGGCGCTGGGTCTATTGAGTTCAATTGCGGTGTTGCCTTCTTTTTCGCTCTTGTTCGGTTTGGATTTTCTGTTTCAGTTGAAAGTTTGAATGAGTAAAAATCGGTCCCGCTCGTACACATACGAGTTGTATTGTGTAACGATCGGTGCACAGGAAAAAAAGTGATATTATTTTATTAGTTATTTTATTAATATTACGGCCACTGTTTCCTCGAAAGCAAAATTCTGTTTTCTGGCTTTTTCCAGAAAATTTTTATATAACGTATCAGGAACACAGGAGCAGAGTACAAGTCGACGCTCGACTATAGGAATTTGTGACGTTCCTAGCAGAATTATCCCCATGGACATTCTCTATTTGGCCGAAAAAATACTCAAAAAGCCCAACATCCATAAACAAATTCGGTTTATCCAAAGTCATCGCAATTAAATAAACACAAATCAAGCATTCTATTATAACAATAACAATAACACTAATAAAAAGCAAGAATAAAGCGAAATTGAAAATTAAATACTAATCGAGCGTTTTCCCAATTGTGGTGGAAAACGCTCATTAGTAAAAAAATCAAGCGGAATAAAAAGTGAAACAGGTGTCAAAGACTGGATGAAAAAGAATGAATAATTCAGCTGTATTTCATAATTTTGTGCCTAGCCGTACTCCACCTTCCCTACCTCTTATAATCTCCTAATATAAAGTCTTCTTCATTTGCATAAAATTGTTAAAGGATTCAGAAGAAAATGAATGTGGTCACGAGGGACACACACCGCGGAAACAGAAATAAAAAGCATAAAACATTATTTTGTTGTAGTAACCACATTTAATTTCAAATATTAGAACAGATTTTTGCGTCTTTAACACAGTATGAATGAAAAAAAATATCTTAAAGTCGTATTATTTTATCCTATTTTAATTTTATTTATTTTATCATCCTATTTTATTTATTTGACAAATAAAATTAAAAATGAAAATCCCTCTCCCATTTTCTTTCTGTCTGTCCATTCCACTCCAACGTCGCCAGCGGTTGTGTTGTGCCGATGCACGCGCTTACATATCAACTTTTGCAGGAATTTGAAACAGGACGGCAGGAATGTTAAGCGTAACCGATGAATACTTGAACTATGAAACAACGAAGCGATCGGAGATCTCTTGATCCTTTATAACCACCTAATACGGCAAAGTTAGCAAAGGCGGTCCTGGGGGTTGGCTGAAATGCTGGGGCGTAGCCCTATCACCTCGTGCACACTCCCTACGGCTATCATTTATTCACTGACAGGTTTTGACTTGCAGGGACCGACCAAAGCTAGGAGGGGTTAATGGTTTGGATCAGCAGTGGAGATTCCTCCGCTTCATTCCTCGTTTAAAAATTATTTTACTGTCTTCTAATTAACTAAAAACGATAAGGGTTAATTTTTTTATCATTATTCTCTAGCAATTCGGCAGTGGTAAGGTAGTTGTTGGTCATAATTGTTTTTTCTGAGGTTTCATTGTTAGAATTTAGAATAACTTTTACCTACAATTTGAGTCCGTCAGATTCCCTTACTCAAATGTAAAAAGTATGCCAGTAGTTTTGGAAGAGGGATTTTGATCTGTATACGTGAGCGTTTCTTGAAGAATCGCCAAATTTTTTTTGTCTTTTCGAATGTTAAAATTAAGGTTATGCCAGATGCGGCATCCACGGTCACGGACACTGAGTATGTCTTTCCCATTTCGATTGAAGATCGATAATGAATGATGGTCACTGAGGCCTCTGCTATATATACCAAAAAATTTGGGCGCCAACTGTCTTAATAATGAAACAAAATTTAATTCTTTAATACAGTTAATTTTCTTGTATTCTCTTATATTTTATGTTGTATAATTGGGTTTCATATTTTCTATAAATTCAGTGATTGTACTCAAATAATCTGTTCAAATTCAGAACAAAACTAAATTACAAGTTTTGTATTTATTTCATTGAATGAATATAAATATATTTTATACAGTTACGCCTGCATGTCTAAACTCCCTCGTAAATTTATGTTTTCCTGTTAACTGAGACGGTAAAAGTCTCTCGCGTCGTCAGAATTCTGTCATTTCATTGGTGCATTTTATTTGTTTGGAGGTTTTCAAAGATTTTTATTTTATAAATTGGCAATTGCTAAATTTTGAACCTTTTGGATCGTTGTAATTAATTTGGTAGTTAATAATCAACAGAAATCCAACATATTCCCATTATTTTCTCTTAGTTTTTAAATCTGCAGTCCAATAAGTAGCGAGAATATTCTGAGATAACAATATCCTGCGACTTATGTTCTCCTGATAAAACGAATGCGCTTTGGTGCTTAGTTTGGCACATTCGAGAACTCTGTTTTATCCTCGATGCTTTTCAATCGATTCTTTAAATATCAATCAATTCATTTGATCCACTCGTTCGCAGTAATCAATCGTTCTTAAAGATTCGTTTACAAATGAATTAATTACTTACTTACTTTATTCTCGTTCACAATACTCGACTAGCCGGAGTGAACGAATGAATGAGTCTTTCGCTTTCTACCAGTCCTTATTTATTTTTCTCTTTACACGTGGGTCCTAAAAACTTAGAAACAACCGCAAATATTTTTTTTCTGACTAGTGATTGATTTTCTCTTGCATTACCTACAGTTCGATTCTTTGAAAATAAATATTATCATGTATTTTATTCATTTTGTTAATCATCTGTTAAATACTTCGACTACTTCAAGTCAATTTGAACGACACATCTCTAGTTGCTTGCCTTGGATTTTTATTATTTGCTCTAAACCTTGCTTATTTATTTATTACATTTTCATACAAGTTGTGAACTTGTTGGAATTTTAAGATGGAGGGTTAATTTGAGTTTCAGTTTGTTTTTTCTTTCAGTTTCAGTTATTTTAGTAATTAATTTCAGTAATTGTAATTAATTGTGATTTCAGTCAGTTTCAGTTAATTTTGTATTAAAAATATTTTAAAGCCTCAAGAACAAACAAATTTTTTTACGATTATTATCTATCTGTCTCACTAACAAAGAAATTGTTATTTATTAAATTGATTTTACAGAAAGATTTCAAAAAAAAAATGGTATCATTACTTGTAGAGAGAGCTAAGGAGTGAGTGAGTATCGATTATGTCAATTACCCATATCCCAAATAAAACATAAGGAATTTTTAAAGTGGGTTTCCAAAAACAAAATGTGTAAAGGCAAAAAAACTCAAAGTGACGAAATTTGAAACATTTATTTGAGAAAAAATAAATATATTGTGTAAAATGTTCAGCTGGCAGAACTGTAACGAAGCGTGTAAGTTTGCTGTAATACAGTTTTTGAGGAACAAAAAAAGTATGTTTAATTAAAATTGTTGGAGAAAAAATGCAGTAATAATTGAAAGATTCAACAGGTATACTTTTTTCTCCGGTTTTGTCAGTGATTTTTGTAATGTGCTCCATAAAAAATGCAATACAAATTTAACTCCTCATTGCTGGTTGCCTATACTAGGAAAATAAATAAGATTGAAACGAAAAAAAAAATACTGAACTAAGTTTTTTCCCTCGATTCTTTTAGAAAACTTCAATTTAATAATTACTTGGCACAAAATAGCTCCACTTTCATCTTCCATTCGTTTGGAAAAACTTTTTACCAGATTCCATGACTAATTCTATTGTTGCAGTAACAAAAAGTACTGTTCGAAACGAATTACTTTGTTATTATCACGAAATTCTTTCCTGCGTCAACAAACTTATTTTCCATTCAGCGGTGGTGACGTTTGAAACGCGATACGAGGGGGCGGTTTATCAGTCGCGACGCAAAAATAATTCTAATTCAAGTTCCATTTATTGATTTATTAGACGATTCAAGTTTATTGTTATTGATAATAATTAATGGCTTAGTAGTGACGAAATTGACATAAATGCAATCTTTCTAAGGTTGATTGACGCATTTGTGTGAGCAATAATTTGTCAAAATTGGGGAAAAAAAAGGGTCTTCAAGGGTGATAATTTGAATGCAAGAGCAAACACTTGAGGAATCAGTGCGTTCGAAGCAAGCAGATTTCATGGAGAAATCACATCGGAATGTTCTACCAGCACGAAGCCAGCGAATGCATGACGTTACCTCCACTGTTACCAGGAGTAACCACGTTCATAACAACTCTATGATAAACCTGACTCATTGTTAATCAGTTGTCCGGTGGATTCGGCCAGGTAGACTCGACTTTCATGCTGTTCCCCACTCGGCGTGTTCCAAGCTAACATTTATCTACACTTCAGGAAAAAGTTTGAACAGTGTGATAACACCAAGGAAATTTGTGTTTCAAGTGTGTGTATTGTGTTCTAATCGATTGTAGTCCTTGGTCAAAAATCGGATATTTACTATGGTAAGAACAAGATTCGTGATTTTTCAGGAAGAGGAAATGTAGTGCTGTTTGAAGGTTTTGGTGATGAGTTTCTTGCCTTTTCCGTGGTTTTGTTTCCCTCAAACTCAATTTATTGCAAAATCAATGAGACTTTCATCGCTAATTAACCTCAATAGCGGACGTGATCGTTGCGTCCAGAAAAACTACGTTTTTTGGTCACCTTGAAAATAATCACTTGTGATTAAATTGTGACAAAAAATAATAATAATGTAACGAAAAAAATGCTATTTGTTGGTATTTTCAATTGTTTATTTCATGGTCGAAAAGTTTAAATGTTGACCAAAACTTTGCGTTGCTGAAATAGTTTTCAGTGACTAATGGTCGTGAACTAATGCATAATTTTGGACACAACTTTCCTATTTTGGCAAATGCTAGAAAGTCATTCAATCTATTTAAATTTGCCAAATAGGGTGACACACTAATATTTGGGTCAACAAATAAAATCACTGTCATTGGCAACAATTGAACAAAGTCGTGATTGCAACTATATTAAGTACCTGCTCAAATATTTAGATTATAGTTTACTTAGCCTTGTGGAAAGACCAGTGTTGAAACAAGCTAGCGTATTTTTTACCATAAATTTGAGCAAAACTTATGCAATCATTCCGTTATTGAAAAAATAAAAATATTCTGAAAATATTTGGCTTACATAAAGTTGTAAAAAATCATTTCATGCTCAATGATTTGCACCTTTGGGTGGAAATAGAGCATAAATTTCTCCCTATGACAGTTTCACTTTGTCCATAAAATAAATCAAAATAATATAAAAATGGCCTGTTGCGTAATTAGAAACTGCATTCAACAGGAGATTAATTACTTGGACATTTTCCTACTGTAGCGTGACACTTTAAAATTGCTACAAATTATTTTCAACACTTTCGTTCCTGAGATGCTTCACACTTTCCTATTGAATTCAAATCAAATTTGAAAAATCGAACATCCTGATTTCGTGCCACATATCTTGTGAAGCAGAGCCTCACGTATGCTTGCCGTATGGCGGAATAATTAGCTAATTAACACTTGCAGCTGTGAAACTCCTTGTGGTCACTTTTTCAACTTCAATGTCCTTTATTTTATGACTGGCCTTTTAAATCGGAAACCGCACTTTCCCTTGAGGCATTTATAAAACGCGTCACAAGTTAATATTATTAGACGGAAGACTAGGTCATCTATTCCCGATTTTGGTCACGTAATAAACAATAATTTCAACAAGCGATGCGTAATTTTGAAATATTTGCGTTGCAAAAGCATCTTCCAGTTCAGTAAACTCACAAGTGCAGAACCTTGAAAAGTCTCAATTAACATTTTTCCAATGATTCGCTCCATAATTAGTGCCGGGAGATTCAAAGTATCATTTTTAGTGTTTATCTTCCTGCAAAGTCGCGGAAGTCGATTTGAAAGCAGTTACGGTTAGCAACTCAAGAGTAAAGAAGTCGGCAACGTACTCGTTCTGAAAATTGAGATTTCTCCTCCTAGGAAGCTAAGAAATGTTAATCTGCCAGCTATTAAATATATCTAACGAATATAGCTCGCTTATATAATTCTAATTAAGTTCTTAGGCCAGACACACCCAGTAATTCAAATTCCGACACGACAATAACAAACCTTTTTCGAATAATTGTTTTACGTCAAAGGTTTATCTCGTGCTTGTTACCATCAGTAGGCGTATCGTATCGTATGATTTTGAACAATTTTAGTGAAGAGCACATTGAGCTTTACATGTTTTCAACCGGCTATTTGGCAATTTGCCTATTGTAATATATCGTTTACATAATGAAGAATAATGAAGCATGAAATTTGAAAAATCTGCAAAATTACGTAATAATTGTCCACAATTAGATAACTCTTGCTTAACAATAATAAAAATAATGTTACATCTGTCCGATTATTTAAAACACTTTCGTTCTTTTCGTGAGAATTTCTTGTGACTTATTGTAAATGGGTGTGAACTGAGTCGCGGATTACACCCAAACAAACAGGGAATTTCCTGCACATTACAATCGGTACAATTATCCAAGGAGTGCCTTTTAAGAAAATGTTAATAAATCTAAAGAGGTTGAAAAAGATTTTATTATAATCGTGACTGGCTCAAGGTATGCAACAACGTGAGGAGAATGGATGATATTTAAATTCAGCTTTGTACCAGTTGCACTGCTTGAATTAGCAACAATTTGTTGAGACGAAGTACTGCAGATGGACGCACAATGAAGGCAATTGAGACCAAATTGTGACGAGCAAAGTCTTTGTCAAGAAATTATAAATACATAAATCGCCAAAACTGGAATCAAGACCTAGCAAAACCTTGAACAACCTCTGCGGCGATGTTGTTTTTGTCTGATTTAGTGATATGAACACTAGTTTGTCTTGATTTTTTACAAACTAGTTTGCAAATGAGTGAAGAATTCGCTATCTCAGGGTAATTTACTCGATTACCTGTACTCAAGAAGAAAATTATCACCTTCTTCCATGTTTATTAAAAAATTTAGAATCGACTCGAGAGAAACATTAAATGATGTAATTTTGTTTATTAATTCCCCGGATTGATGAATATTCAGATGTGGACCTGTGTTAACCTCGATTCAGCGAATTCATGCGAAAACATCGAATCACAATCTAATTGCTGCAATTAGACAAATTAAAGAAATTGAATTTCTAATGAAACTGAAAATTTTGCTTGATTGAACCAAATGGTCCGTGCAATTGGAAAATTAACTTTCTATTAACACAAAAGTTGATAAGTTGCATATTTCCGCAACATCACCTTGCCGATAGCATCAAGTATCATTAAGTTTCGCTAAAATTATGACGAAATTTAACCGGAATCAGCTTAGAAAGAGAAAACACGATGTTATGCGAGAAGAGTCGTGAATAACAAAGAGGAAGGTGAGACTCTTTTGCATACAAGAAGCTTTTTCTAAATGGAATATTTTATGCAGCGGCGACTCTTGGAAAATCCCGCTAGAGACTTACATAAGCAACACAAAATATATAGCGCAAATATCGGAGATTCAAAGAACAATTTCATGATTCTGTATCCTTATTATAAACTTTCTTTTGTAAAACACAAAAAAACGTTTTTCGTTTATATAACGCTTTTCCTAATGTTGTTTTAATGGCACTTTCGATGGGTCGCAAAAAGTCAATTTCTACAATCCCGAACTTTCAGCCTAATTGAAAAATAAACATTCCGTGTGTAGATGTATTTATTTATGTCAAATGTAACGGTACAAGATTCGCTTCGAGCTGTTAAAAAGGTATTGATGTCTTGCGGATACGACTCTTTCTTTTGGTGTAACTGTATTCTAGGAGATTATTAAATAAAGCGTAATCTCTGATTGGATTCGCTTGGGGAACTTTGTATGCACGACGAAAACTTTATATGTTACCCACATACCGATATGGTATGAGAAGAGAAGTGGGACATGGTTGCAAATAATTCGTGGGTGTAAGAAACGAAAAAAACGTGCATACACGTGACTTGTCATTCCTGACATTGACTTTTGTTCACGTGTGCGGAAAAATGCACATTCCAATATCTGAAACGTGTAAACAAGAAGTTTTGATCTGGTGATAACACAAACATGATTTGTGTCCTTTTGAAAAATCTGTTCTAACGCAAATAAAGCGCGCATTATGTAATGCTATAGTGGAAAAATCCTCGCAGTTATTCAATTCAAACTAATTATTTTATTAGTGTATGAAAAATCTGCATTTAAATGGCTAGATGGGCCTTCAGGTCCTAATCTGGAGTCAATTAAAGACTATCAATGATTAGAATAATAATAGTTTTATCTTATCTTATCAAAAAAGGAGCTCAGTGCTAATTTTGCTTCCAGATAATCAACTTTTGGTGACAACAATGCCAACATTATGGGCTTCACGGTTCAGTTCATGCTAGGTATGTTAACATTCGCTTTATTTGACTTTTGACATTAATTAATTAGGAACATAATAAATTAAAAATGTTGTGTTAACTAACTCATTTGCAATTCAAATTTGTTTGTTGTATTGTCAACTAAATGTTCGATTTTTGCCACAAATAATATTATCTTATCGTTGCAATCCATAATTTGGTCATTGTTTATCTCGCTAATTCATCTGTACAACAATTGTTGATGTAATATTCATATTTCTTGAGAATTTTGTTTGGTCAGGGTTAGAATAACAATGAATCGTGTAAATTTCTGTACAAATATGGACTATAATTATAAAACCTTATTAACTCACTTGTTTGGTCATGTAGTTCAAGAGAGTCAGACATGGAATCAGCTTGAGAGTAATATAATTATGTTTACGGTGACTATTCAGTGTCATTGTCCTGATCAAAAAGAATGAGCTTTAAAAAGCGTGCAGACGCCTTGTCGATACAGTTAAAGTGTTTAACACACACTTAAATACAATTTCCGTTAAGGTTCTGGTCTAATTTTTGTGTTTTTAGGTACGTTCCTGGTTCTTCTATGCTGCGCCTCGATTAGTACCCAAGTTAAAAATGAGGAAGAAACGACCGAAAAAACCCAAATCGAAACGATAACTGATGCGAATCTCGAAAGCAAGAAACCAAAGACTGAAAATAGTACTGAAAATAGTGTAGGAAACAAATTACAGAAACCTGAGGAAGAACCGAAAGAAAGTGGCCGATCTATTGATATCGAAAAATATGTTTCGAAAGAGTTTCATAATAAAAATAATGTTTACACTTTACCAACTTCACCGGATACTGAGAAATACATAGATCCGGATTATGATTTCCACGCTACGACTCAGAAGCACCATGAACATGAAGAATTTAGTTACGAGTCGGAGTTAACAACGCCGAAAAGTTCGATTTTTGATCACAAATACAAAGAAGCAGTGGAGAGTGTTGATCAGAAGTTGGAACATATTGATGATTCGCATGAAGTTTCAGCTGAAAGCGAATCAAAAGAAAGTGTCGACTTGGAGAAACTTTACGAAGAAACGAAGAAGAATGACACCAAAGCTGATTTGAATTATGTCAATTTTAAAACTGTTGTTGCTAATGATACGGGTAGTAAGAACTCTCTGCGGAAGAATGTGGTGCTTGAGAGTGGAACAAATTTAAATTTCCAATCTTCCTATAATCACACAACGATCGATGAAAATGATAGTGGGAATAACACGATTCCGAAAGAAGATAAGAAAATTGAAACCACGACTTTGAGCAATGTGATTGCCGTTAAAGGCGAGTTGGAAAAAGCTGAAAGTTCGACTGTTAAAACCACTTTAACAACCCGAAAAAGTCTAGTTCTAACCAAACCCCCGTCAAGTCGAAATTCGAGCCATATCTCAATTTTGAGCAACAAAATTGAAACCGAAACCGTCAAAGCGATCAACCCAACAACAGACAAGCCCAAAGGAGATAAAGAAAACTTCTCTGAAAGTTACACCCAGAAAACACCTATTGATATAACAAAAAGAGGTTCAGTCAAATACGCACACACTATATCAACCCAACCCACAGTCACGAACAACATCAAAAAATCGGAACAACTTTTACAAGAAAATCAAGTTATTCCAGTCCATGTTGAAGCACCCCCAACTGCCATAAACAGCACAACGGAAACTCCATCAACAACAACGCCTGAAACCGAAACACGGATTACTTATTCAGTCGAAACTAGGATTAAAAGTGTTTCAGTGGGGACAGAAACACCGACTTACACCACAACTGAAGCTGAAACAACCACTGAAACAACAGAAACTACATACTTATCAGACAGTACTGCATCCACAACGGCCACAACTGAAAATCCTGAAACAACTGAGTTAGTAACAACGACTGAAATTGTTTCAAATGATACTGCAGAGACTAAAAACATTTCAATTACTACTGAAAATACAGTGAGGACCTCAAAAGGTATAAATTTTGGGGAAAATGTGTCCACGATAACTACGACTGAACTACCAACAACTGAGAAAATTCAGCCGACAACTTTTATTTCGATAGAAGTAACAACGACCGAAAAAATGTTCGAAGTGACTCAGGAAACAACAACTGAACCAATTCCACCGACGAATTCGATTCCTAAAATGTTCTCAGATGTGGCTGCCCAGACTACGACTGAGAAAATGTTGAAAGTGACTCAGAAAACAACTGAGAAAATTCCACCGACGAATTCAATTCCGAAAATGTTCTCAGATGTGGCTGCTCAGACTACGACTGAGAAAATGTTCAAATTGACTCAAGAAACAAGTGAGAAAATTCCACCGACGAATTTGATTCCGAAAATGTTCTCAGAAGTGGCTACTCAGACTACGACTGAGAAAATTTTCAAAGTGACTCAGGAAACAACTGAGAAAATTTCTCCAACGAATTCAATTCCGAAAATGTTCTCAGATGTGGCTATTCAGGCTACGACTGAAAAAATGTTCAAAGTGACTCAGGAACCCACGAATTCAAATGCAAAAATGTTCTCAGATGTGATTCCTGAGACTACAACTGAGTTAGAACTGACTACAATTCAGGTTGCTTCAACTAATCGCACAAATTTGGTTGTACCTGTTTTTAAAAATATTCCTACTGAGACAAGCGAACCAGACACCACTGAAAACTTCACAATAACTTCAGATTCGTACGAATCCAGTACTGGCGCTCCTGACGACAACAGTGGCAAAACTGCCGCCATCGCCATATCTTCAATCGCTGCTGTTTGTCTCATCGTAATCGCCGGCCTTCTGGTGAGTTAATTATCTTTGGCAACACATAAGTAACAAAAATTTTAGGTGTTTATGAAGAAGAGGCAAAAGAGGTTTAATTATGGACAAAGATGCCGGCCTGTGAGCCTCGACGACTACAGTATGGATAATGTCTCCGTGTACAACAGCGTTCGAAGAAAGGGAATGTTAAGAGGGTCGAAACGTTCATACGGAAATCCGGCGTTCGAAGATCCCGTCACAGTCACCCATCCGTTGAATTTCCCCGCTTTGGGAAAATTTGCAACGAATTTGGACGACATAAAAGCCGAATTTGAAGAAATCCCTCAAATCACAGCTCGAACCAACGAACTTCCAGACGGATGCGAAACGAAAAATAGATACGCCAATGTTATACCACTCCCCGAAACGCGTGTTTTGTTGAATCTAATTGAGGGTTACCCCACCAGTGATTACATAAATGCTAATTACGTTACTGTAAGTTTGTCAATTGCCATGTATCTCATTAATTTTACAATTTAGGGACCTAAAAACACGAAGGGGTATTACATAGCGTGTCAGGCCCCCATGCAAAACACTGTGGATGATTTTTGGCGAATGATTTGGGAGCAACAATGCAAAGTTGTCTTGATGGTAACTCATCTTTTTGAAAACGGAGTCGAAAAATGCGTCGATTACCTCCCCCCTTCGGAAGTGCTAGACTGCCACCGCCTCTTCGGTGACTTCCAAGTCACTTTGAAAAAACGCGAAGTCAAAGACAAATACATCATTTCCAGTCTCCAGTTAAAGGTAACACACTTTCAAAAACCGGGGAAAAAGTAACCACTCTTTTCAGAATATGGTGTCAAATAGCTGGCGCGAAGTCACCCATTTCTGGTACATGGGATGGCCTGAAAAAGGCGTCCCGACTGAAGCAAATTCGCTCATTGCATTTCTGATCGAAGCTCGGAGTTACATGAAATCGTCGTCGATTGATAGGGTAATTTTCCGTGTATAATTGGTTGCATATCTCACCTCGTTTTTAGAAGGAGGTTACCAATGGTAATTTGGCGAACGGTGGTGCGAAAAACGAAGTGAATCCTGTGGTAGTGCACTGTAGTCCTGGAACAGGACGAACAGGTGTGGTGATAGCTTGTGATATTGCGATAAGAGAGTTTGAACAAACGCGACTTGTTGATGTACCAAGGATAGTCTATAAGATTAGACGAGATAGGGCGAGTGCAGTACAAACTAAGGAACAGTACGCATTTATTTATAAGGTATTGGGTTTAATTACCTGTGTTTGTTAATTAATATTTTTGATGATTGCAGGTGATTAGTCTTTACGCAACTAAACTTACAGGAGGTGCTTTAGATTCGTTGTAGTTTTAATTAGTGGTCAAAAAGCTTCAAGCGTTTGTGATAAATTCATGTTTTAATGTACATTTTTTAAGTCCTGAAGTTAAATGTAAATATTTTCATGTATATATGTTAGTCCTTGCTCTCTATCCAACTTATTTAGTACAGTTTTGTGTAGATAGAAATGTTATATTGTACAATATTAAGCCTTGTTTATTGTTATTTCTTTAGAGATTTATGTTGTTGAATTCACATTTGATTGTGTTCAATGATAAAAAATAAAATTATATAAACTGAAGCTTTGTTACTACTCGTGTTACCAAAGCATTACGCAATCCTATATTTTATTCTAGGTACAGATTTATCTGGTTGATACAGATTAAAACAGTGTTCATTTACTTATACCATTAAAAGTTCAAATCAATTACTGACGTTCATAGCAATTATCTGATAATTGGCGAAACGACACGGCTTCAAAAAATCTTTGAAAAGAAACATTTCAAAGCAAAAGTGGAAAAATTACTTCCAAGCCGAAGAATTAAAAAGTCATTAAAAATGACGGAAATGTCTTATCAGATATTTATTTAATTAATCTTAATTGATGTAATAGTTATTATGATTATTTTTTTATAAGAGAACATTATTATCCTCACGAAAACAAAAAATTGCATTTTCTTCGTTACTGGTTTCGTCTTGAATTTTTTGGGCATTACAGAAACAGCTTCTTAATCATATTTGAAACAAAACGATTCCAATACTTGTCGGGGAGACCCAACTCAAGCCAGTTTGCAAGTTATTTCATTCAAAGGCCAAAAATGTTAACAGTCTATTGTGACTTTCCATCAGTGAACAATTTTAACTCAAATTAATTTGCAAGTTTGACGAGTAATTTTTCGCCAAAATTGACAAATTGTTAACACATATTTGTGTATTGCGAAATATGAATCAGGTTTGGTTTGATTCGTCCCAGAATTAACTGGATTTATCTGCTGAAGTTACCTCCAGCAAGTTTTAAAATCGTCACGACAGGTAGAATTTACACTATGTTTTGTAACTGTCTCCTACATTAAAAAATTGAGACGAATTTGCAAAGTTGGGTCAAATTAATAAGAGGTCCTGTCAATATGAGTTTCAAATATTTTATTTTAGTGTCCCGATTTGACTGGAATACCTTTTTTGGGAAATTTTTCGCTTAGTTGGCATAAAACTTGCACAGGCCAAACATCTGAAAGCTCACCGGAAGTGGTTGAGTTGTTCTATTTATGTTTCAGTTTTAGTCTACTAAAGATTAGCCAAAAATACATGTACAATGAAAAATCAATATTCTTCATAAATGAGTCAATTTTGCAACACAAGAGCATCTTGATTTCGCTGAAACGTAGGCAGAAAATCAATGAAATGTAGTGCGATTTTCATATTATCATTAACAACCACACAAGGAAGGTCAACCTAGAGGTAAAAAACCCAGATTTGAAATTCTTGAGAGTTAAACAAGTGATTTATTTAATCGTAAAATTGGGGTGAAGGTTGTGATATCTTTAAGCACCATTTAATTTAGTAATTAGTTTAGTATTTTCACATGCGACTACCGAAAATTTTAAATAATTAAACAATGACTAAAAAAAGAAGAAAAATTTCACCTTGACAATAACAACAACGATAACACGTGCTAATACACTTTTTTATGTAGAAATATGCATTTTTTTTAGGTTTGATTGATAACAAAAAAAAATTTTTCGAAATTTTCACGTTGTAAAAGAAACGCCATTGACTACTTTTCCTCCACTGCCTTCTAAATTTAGTTTTTAATGGTTATTCTAAAACATAAAACTATTGGAAATAGAGAAAAACAAAGTCTTAACGTAAAATCCCAATTCCAAAATTCTTTTTTATTTAAAATTTTTGTTTAAAATAAAGAGGCCCATAGCAAAATTTTACTACTGGTGTTCAAGTATAATAAATTTTCAAATTTTCTATTCTGTGCGAAAGTGTACTTAAATTTGTCTTTTACATTGTACACCTTATTTGTTTTTCATTAACATTGTGGAAGGAAAATTTACGTGGAACAGTTATCACAATAACTTTGCCACTACGCAAAAATTAAGAGAAGAATAACTGAGTCACATTTAAAAGTTAACAACATTAAGAAATCTGAATTTTCATCACAGTATATATTTTTTTAAAGCAGGCGAAAAATTCTTTTAAATTACAAAATATTAATTTTGTGTGTAGTAGTTTAAACGACAATAAAACATTTTATTACATATTAGTACGAATAGAAATTACCAAAACCTAAACAATAAAATAATATGTGATACAAATTATCAATTTTTTACTCTACAAAAGCTAGAATTTTCTTTGTGAAAATGTAATTTTATAAATTCAAAAATGTGTTTTTTCTTTTTGGCTCATTTATGTTCTGTTTAAACGAAAAGAAACGCAACTTAAGAAAGCCGCTAATTTAAAATATGAGATGAGTTATTACAAGAAAAAAATTTAAACACTAATTTAGGGACAATTTTTTCTCCTTTTGAACACTTACTTTATTATATGGCTCTCTGAAATCCATAATTAATAAACAATTTGTTGATTTAGTTGTAAGTACTTATCTTTAAAAATGTTATAGAAATGCGTCTTTGAGTAAACGTGCCATTAAAATAGTTGGAAGCGTTTTCGATTAAAAGCAAATAAGTAAACTTTTCCGATTTGAGCAATTAAAATTTCTTATCAGTTGAGATTTTTCGTTTATGAAATAGCAATAAACGCATTGTTTATGTCATTTCTGGAACACTTGAGTTTAATAATAAACAAAAATTTCGTCGCAAGTTTTTGAAAGAAATTTCAAGAATGGTCCTTCCGGAGCGTTTCTTTTCGCTGTTCCTGGCAATGGGCCAGTTCGCAATAAATATCAATCCAGAATCACCATGAATAATAGTATTTACGGTCTTAAGTATATTTAGTAATTTTCGCATTCGACATGTATGAATCTGCGCGTTGTCCATCAATCGGCATGGAGTACTTAAAGAAAGCTCCCTGCTCAAACATTGCAGTTTATCCTCTGAAACGCTGAAAGTCGGCTCGAGGTTGTCAAGTAGCTCTCAATGTCTAGATAAATCCTCAAACTCGAAATTTCCATTCATTTCCAAACAAACCATTGAAAGTGCCACACCATGGACGGCCGATTTACTCTCCAGCCAAGTGCCGGGATAGACAACGGTGCTTTTCAGTTACACGAAAACGGGGTGAAAGAGGACACTATCAGTGATTTGAAACCGACACCGAGTTACCCCATCCAAAAACGCAAAAAATCCCTCGTGCAACTCACACGCGAAGCACTCCCGAGATTGGAGAATTACAGAAATTCGCGAAGGGCAGCCAAGAGGCCGTCGTTAGGAGAATTACACGGAGGCGAAGACGTCGTCAAGGTATGTTTTAGTTTACCTGTCGATAACACATGTGAGGCAGTTCGAGCTGGAATATACTCACTCGAACAATCGTTAACTCTGCTTTTTAAAATTGATGTTTAATGGCACCATAATTAATTTCGTGTACAAGCGAAAAATTTTACACTGTGTGAGAATTTTAATTTGTTTGACCAAGAAAATACTCATTGTCGGTAAATGGCGCTTAAATAACGCAAAAGTTGTAAATTATCAATGTGACAATAACAAAATTTACATTTACTGATTAACCGACAAAAATGTTTTATTGTTGTTCAACGGCTGCCTCAGGCATCTTATCGTTTAAAACGACGCGTTAAAAGCTATTTTACATTAAAAAATAAATACCAAAAATAAGGAATACAATTCAAGTTTCATTAAGTCAACAATATCCGACTAAAACAAGATCATTGTAGATATATTTGAGAGATATGGACAAATTCTAGAAACATTTCACTATTACCTTTGCGCAATTTTATAATAAACTATGTCGTTCGTTATTTTTTGTAGATATACTTTTTATTGTCATTTTTGTTTTATTTTTTTAAAGTGAAACTTTTATTACATTGCCTCTAAATTTTTATATTGTTACCACCTTCATACTCATTATTTTTTATTTTTATCTCATTCTTATACATGTTGTAAAAAAACATTGGAGTTGTTTTTTGACTTAGTACACTCCAATAAAACTAGAATTTTCATTTGCATTTCTTTATGAAATAGTTTCCGAAAATTAAATTAAATTATTTTACTAGTTTTTTTTTAAGTCTTGCTACCGAAAATTGAGTTCTATTCGTGTTTTTATTTCATCTTTTGAACCGCAATTCGATTTTTTTTATTTATTTTATTTTTTTTACCGGGTAATTAGCATCTTCAGTAGCGAGTTTTCTTCTTTTTGTTTAATCTTGAGTTTAATTAATTCTATTTTAAATTCATTAAACATATCACAGAAACAAAGCAAAAGCAATCAATGTTTCTATTATTTTATTTTTTAAGACAATTTTCTTACATCTCGTTTCATATTTTATTTTTTTTTAACATCAAAACAAAATTTTTTGATTTATTTAGGTACTTTTGACAATTCTAAGAATAACTATTTCTCAACTATGTTTTTTCTTTTATTTATTTTTTTTGGGAAAATTTGTTTTAACCATGTGTTTTCTGGTTCAAACTTGCTTCTAGTTTATTTTTAATTTTCTTACCAGCAAGAGCCCAATGGCACTTCCGAGGAAGAGGGCTCAGCCCCCGGCAGCCACGATGGTATCAAACTGGGGTGGATTCAAGGTGTGCTTATCCCATGTCTCCTCAATATCTTCGGTGTCATGCTATTTTTGCGTCTTTCATGGGTCGTTGCAGAAGCGGGAATTGGTAAGTAATCATCGTCTGGCAAAATCAAACTCACGAGATATTTTCATAATGGGATACTTCGAGGCAAAATTCGGAATTTTAAGAGGCTTCATTATTGATAATAAGATGCTTTCAATCTGAAGGAGGTATTTTCTAAAATGACGTCAGTTTACTGCGTCTCGGAATTTTATTTTTGCTTTCTTTTTGTAATTGTAGTTAAATTAATTAAACCGTCCATTCGTCGATTTTATTGATGTTTTTAGATTTATTTTACGATTAAATGTAAATAATTTACATGGAAACACAGAAACTATTTAAAAAAGTGTCGATTCTAATGTAAATTATTTAGATTTGCTAAACACTTTCGGCCGTGCGAAGGTCTTTGTCTTGGAGCAGTGAATTAAAAAATTGAAATAAATCTTGCTATTTTGCAATTTGTCAATAAATTTCAGGCCAAAGTTTGGTCATAATCGGGATATCAGCCGTCGTTTGCATCATCACAACCCTCTCCTTGTCGGCAATCAGCACAAACGGCGAAGTCAAAGGAGGTAAACGCCAAAACCCCAAAGACCCTAACCCCGGAATAAACTTTCAGGTGGGATTTATTACATCATTTCGCGATCATTGGGCCCCGAATTTGGGGCTTCCGTCGGCATTGTCTTCGCTTTCGCTAATGCCGTTTCAGCGTCCATGAACACAATCGGGTTTTGTAACTCTTTAAGCAATCTTCTGAGCCGTTATGGCCTAAAAATCGTCGATGCAGGAATCAACGATGCCCGAATTATTGGCATTGTGGCCATTTTGGTTATGATCTTGATTTGTGCCATCGGAATGGAGTGGGAATCTAAAGCCCAAAATATCCTAATTGTGGCAATTGTGGCTGCAATTGTAGATTTTCTCGTTGGGGCCATAATTGGGCCTTTATCGGATGAAAAACAGGCGCAGGGCTTCACCGGATTCAATTGTAAGTTTCTGTCGATTAGAATAAATAACAAAAAATTCGTTATTAGTTACGACTATTTCGACGAATTGGGGGCCGGATTATCGTCGCTCTGAGGGGATGGATTACGATTTTTTCCAAGTTTTTGCCATTTTTTTCCCTTCGGTGACCGGAATTCAAGCCGGGGCTAACATTTCCGGGGATTTGAAGGTGCGTTTCAAGACGGGTTAATTTTTTTTGACTTGGAATTGCAGGATCCGGCGTCAGCAATCCCAAAAGGGACGTTTCTCGCTTTGGTCATCTCAATGGTGACTTATGCGATTTTTGTCGTTGTCGCTGGAGCTTCAGCAATCCGGGATGCCAGTGGTAATGTAGGGGACTTAACCAACGGAACGCTTTCCAGCTGTTCCCCGGATTGCCAGTACGGAATTTTCAACAATTATCAGGTGAGGACTGTCAATCATTAAATCAAAAATAGCCCCTTGAAGTGTGTTTATGTTTATGAATAATATTATCCGAGGTTTGAGCTTTGTTATTTGTTTTTTTTTGAAATTCAGGTTAATGCGTGTGCGGCATTTGAAAAGATGCTTGCAAATGACACCCTCAGACACACCCTCATTTATTTACGTGACGTCAATCATCGAACACGTGTTATTTTCTCGGACGATGTCTTCCTAGATACACAAAATTCGTTTAAGAAAATTGTGGATCGAGTTTCGTGACGAAATTAAAAATCCGGGTCCAATCAATATTTACATAAATAGACAAAAGGCTAAGGATATTTCTGGTGACGTCGAGAAATATGTTTACTTTTGCGGAATTAAGTGCATGTGGGAGGTGGTTGCTGTTTATGAAAATTCTTATTCGCAGAAAAGCTGAAACGAAGTTTTTGAAATATTCAAGCTGAGATAAATTATTGTGACTAATCTAATTACGCAAATTGATTGCTATCGATGATCAGATATTGATGGCCAAAGTACTTAACATAATTAATCGTCATTTTTTAATCTACGATAAAAACACATTCACGACATCGTGCCAATGTGTACACATTTTACCATTTCTAGGAAGTGTATCGCACACCTAGATCAGCTGTAATTACTGAAAAAACACTTTTTTCTGAAATGTTGAAAACATTGCTACCTAAAATACAGTTGCGGACGAGGCGAAGCCGAGCCTGAAAAAGCAGATGAAACCGCAAGAACTTTTTAAGTACATGTTACAAACATCATTTTTTGTTTAAGTTCTCAAAAACATATTCAGCCTCTTATTATGTATGGTGAATTTTTTTATTGCGAAAACTCATTTTAGCCGCTTAAATGAGTTTATAAAATAGCTATTTTTAAGAGTTTACAAAAAAAACAATAAAATAATTAACAAAAAAACCTTAATTTTTAGTTGGATACTATTTTGAGGTAGGTGTGTCTAATTTATGCAATCTTTAGCCAAAAAAATAATTGAAATCTAATCTCAAATTATTAGATTCATTGATCAAAGGTTTTAGTTTTAAGAAATCACGAGAGTCTTGATTCTAAAATATTTATGCAAAAGCTTCATAAAACAATTGTTTTCCCATTA